ACTGTATCAAAACGACTGAACTACACACTTGGAAAGGCTGTTTTATAGAATGTGGACTACACTTTTAAAAAGCTGTTATTGCCCTGGCCAGTTTTGCTCAGCGGTTAGAGCGTCGGCCTGCGGTCCGGAGAGACCCGGGTTCGGTTCCCGCTAAGGGTACGTACTTCGGTTGCAGTTTGTCCCCGTCCCTGGTTGGTCGTGTGGGTGGCAGCCACTCGATGTGTCCCTTCACGTCGATGTTTCTCTCTCTCTCCCTCTCCCTTCCTCTCTCTCCCTCCCACTCTATCTGTACAAAAAATGGAAAAATATCCCCGGGTGAGGATAAAAAAATAAAATAAAATAAAATAAAAAGCTGTTACTGCCCGGCCCGCGTGGCTCAGTGTATGGCGTGTCATCCCATGGACGCAGAGGTCCTGGTCCGACTCCCAGTCAGGCGCCTGCCGGGTCTCAGGCTCCGTCCCCAGCAGAGGGTGTGCGAGATGCAGCCGATGGGTGTCTGCCTCCTATTGATGTTTGTCTCTCTCTCTTCCTCTCCCTCTCTAAAAGATCAATAAAAAGATATTTTTAAAAAGCTGTTACTTATAAAAAGAAGTCGCAAAGAGCATAATCTGAGTCTTAATTCCGATGTCTCTCAAGCGGGCAGCTCCGGGCACCTGCTGCGCAGGAGCCCGGCAGGTCTGACCTAGGCACCAAGCCCAGAGCCGTCGGCCGTCAGGCCGAGGATGGCGTCCGAGTCGAGATGACTGCAGTTCTGGGTGACTCTCCTGGAAAGTCCCCGCAATACCAACACGACTTCCTTAACCACTCAAACATGACCTCTTGTCGGTCATGCCCTAGAACACAGCCGGCTCCCCACCACCACCTGGGTGCAGTCACCCGTGGGCACAGGGTGTCCCTCTGCCCATCATCACAGCGCTCACCCCACGCCCTGGTGCATCTCCTCCCCTAAGACCCCATCTTCTTGGACGCACTCCCCATGTGGCCACTGCCTGAAGTCTTCTGGCCACCAAAAGGCTGAGGGCTGATCCCTGGACAGCTCTGCCATCAGCTAGGACCCCTGCCGACCAGCCCACCCTCCGACCTTCCTCACTCACCCTTCTGCACAGACCGGCCGCGGGCCACCTCCACGTCCTGGCACTGGAGACTGACCCCACCTGTGCCTCAGAGCTGCCGACCCGCAGCCACCAGGTCAGGGGCTGCCGACACCCAGACGACGACCTCTGCAGAGCAAGCCTGGGCCTGTCCCTACCGCAGGGGGTCCCATCCCCCCAGCACCTGACCTGGTCCTCACCGTGAACTGTCACCTGCTCAGAGCTGCCCCGTCCTTGAAACCCGACCTAGCTGCCCGTTCGCTCGGAACTCGTCCTTGTCCTAGGATGCCCCTGCTCCCGCCACAGCCACACCTTCCAGAAGGGCCAACCTGCTCTCCATCCTTACCCCTCCCGTCCTCTTTCTCCGTCAAGGGAAACACATTTTTACCACTGCGCCCCCTAGAGACCCCCCAAGGACACCCCCATGCACACTGGTGGTCGGCGAGTCTCAGACTGGAACATGACCTGCATGGCCCCAGACACCACCACGCTGAGTCAGTCAGTCAGTCAGCCACCAGAGGGCACAGGCAGCAGGACTCGGCGTGCGCTCCACAGACATGGCGGCTGAGCGCTGGCCCAGGGCTGACTGCCCGGCTGGGTGGCATGTGGGTGTCTGTGCCCACCGGGAACGGACGGGTGAGCAGCACGGCGTGCGGACTGTGTCTCAGTAAAGCTGCGATAAGAAAACACCAGGCCTAGCCGGTTTGCTCAGCGGTTAGAGCGTCGGCCTGCGGTCCAGAGAGACCCGGGTTCGGTTCCCGCTAAGGGCATGTACCTCGGTTGCAGTTTGTCCCTGGCCCTGGTTGGCTGTGCGGGTGGCAGCCACTCGATGTGTCCCTTTCACGACGATGTTTCTCTCTCTCCCTCCTGCTCTGTCTGAACAAAAAATGGAAAAATGTCCTCGGGTGAGGATAAAAAAGAAAAAACACCAGGGCCGGCTGGTGTGGCTCAGTGGTTGAGCATCAACCCTGCACTAGGAGGTCGCTAGTTCGATTCTCAGTCAGGACACATCCCAGGTTGTGGGCCAACTCCCCAGTGAGGGGCATGCAGGAGGCGGCCAATCGATGTTCTCTCTCATCCATGTTTCTATCTCCCTCTCTCTCTAATATCAATAAAGGAAAAAAAATAAAATAAAATAAAAAAAGGAAACACAATCTTGCTCTTGACCAGGGTCCCTGGTCCTGCTCGGTCCTCACGTGGCCTCTGCAGGACTGTCTCCATCCAGGAGGCCGCATGAGGGACCTGGACACCTGTCTGTACCCACGGGAACCACCATCTCCTTAAAAACGTGCTCAGTCTGCCACCTTAGTCACAACCTGTGGGATGGAGACCCGACCTTCTGCGGTGGAGCACGGCCGGGAGGCTGGCTGGGCCGGCTGCACACGGAGCACTGCTCGACTCAGCCACACGAGGGCAGCCGCCGCAGACCGTCTTGCTGGCCAGGCCTGGCTGGGCTCCAGGGAAACTAGGGGGTGGGCTTGGCCAGTGGCTGTAGCTTGCTGATTGCTGTTCCCAAGTGTCTGTCACCTCGGTCACACCCTGACTTGCAGAGGCCACGCTGATTAACCCTTGTCACAATCCATCAGTCTCTCAAATGTGCTGGACAACAGACACTAAGTACCAGGCGTTGCGAGCCCACTATTTTACACAGGAGGAATGAAAATACTTTCTCAGACCACCCAGGAACCCTAAGATTCCCCCAACACCATGAAAAACCCCACGATCTAAAACACCAAGGATGCTTGGATGACACAGAACACGAACCCTGTTGAACAGCAATCTCATCAGTGAGCATGTTGTGTGTACCATGCACTGCTCCTTCACGGATCTACGTGTAAGTTTCGTCTGTTCTCTACATGGCAAGAAACCTCCTCAGTAATGAAAGTAAAGGAGAAGCTGTCTTCTGAACCAGCCCGGTGCCCGGCAGAGGCCGATGCTGGGAGTCGTGGACAGCCCGGGGACCAGGAGGGCCAGGCCAGGCGGCAGGAGCAGACTTGGCCTCCACACGCTGCCCAGCTCCATCCCGACCTGCAGGACAGCACAGCAGGTTTCTGGTTCTGACAGTGCACTTGGGGCTCATGTTTTCACTGTCATTATAGTGAATTTTTGGTAGTAGAGCTTGAATCCTGGGGAATCCTCGCACATCCCAAACATACCACGCCCTCTCTCTCTCTCAGGGTGATCATCCAAAAGAAAATCAAGAATCACTAATATTTGATTCCCCATGGGAATAGCCTAGATGACTTCCTGCCTCATTTACAACAGGTTAGGCAGAACTTCTAATTTCTGATTTTACTGGGTATTTGCCACATTATGCTAGGATTAGCGATTATCAACACTAACTTTATTTAAAGTACAAAAAAGCAAACAAAATAACCCATAAATGCAAGTTTGCATGTAAATGTTTCCCATTACTAAAATGTCAGTCAACAGTTAAAATTAAAAAATGCAAAACTGCTCTTTTGGATTAGACTGGACCTGTGGGAAGCAGCCAGACACCCGTTAAAATGACGCCTCCCCTCCTACTGTTCCCCCCTACAGCCCACCCGCAGGCTATGCTGCGGTCTGAGTGACGTTCCCCCAGATTCGTATGTTGAATCCGAACCCCCAGGGTGATGGTGTTAGGAGGTGAGGCTTCTGGAAGGTGATGAGGTCATGAGGTGGGGCCTCAGGAACGGGACTGGTGCCCCAATGAAGGAGACCCCAGAGAGCCCCCCCCCCACGTGAGCACACAGGACACGGCCCCAGAGAGCCCCCCCACCACATGAGCACACAGGACACGGACCCAGAGAGCCCCCCCACCACGTGAGCACACAGGACATGGCCCCAGACGCCCCTCCCACCACGTGAGCACACAGGACGCGGCCCCAGAGAGCCCCCCACCACGTGAGCACACAGGACATGGCCCCAGATGCCCCTCCCACCACGTGAGCACACAGGATGCGGCCCCAGAGAGCCCCCCCACCACGTGAGCACACAGGACATGGCCCCAGATGCCCCTCCCACCACGTGAGCACACAGGACGCGGCCCCAGAGAGCCGCCCACCACACGAGCACACAGGACGCAGCCCCAGACACCCCTCCCATCACGTGAGCACACGGGACGCGGCCCCAGACACCCTCCTCTAGGCCCAGCCTTTGGAGCTGGGGAAGCAGCCGCTGCTGCCTATGAGCCACCTAGTCTGCAGCACTGTCACTGCAGCCCAGACGGCTGCAGGCAAACAGCCCTCCACAGAGGTCACTGAGATGAGGTCGGCATCAGTGGGCATCCTGGTCTTGTTCCGCCTTTGATGGAAGGGACTGTTGCTGTTTTTCTTTTTTTTCTATATTGATTTTAGAGAGAGAAGAACGAAAGAGGGAGAGAGAGAAACATCGATGCGAGAGAACACCGATTAGCCGCCTCCTGCACGCCCCCACTGGGGGTCGGGACCGGGAATCGAACTGGTGACCTCTTGGTGCAGGGTCAAGGCTCAACCACTGAGCTGCACGGGCCGACCGGGAGAAAGTGTTTTAAGAATTTGAACATTAAACAGAAACTTTCCACTAGGCTATGTAATTTTTCTCCATTGACGATAATGAAGGAGTGGCATTTGCATAGACAGCCAACAGGTACAGCATGCTGACTACCAGAGCACCAATACATGTCTTAAGTGGCCAGCGTTCAGAGAATTTGCATACATGTAACACTGAGCACACTGCACATCCAGTCAGTCCCCCACAGCACTCTGACATGGTAAAAACCTTACAAGAACCACTGTCACACTGACAACAGCACGTGTGAGGAGACCCCTGTGCTGATGGACACGCGTGGGGACTTCCATAAGCAGCGTGCGTGCACTCCTCATGCTTCCCGCACCCTCCCGGTAACTCGCAGGTGATGTGCCTGCATGTGAAGACGAGCGGCACTACCTTTCCAAGCATTCTGCCCAGGAAGTAGTAATGTCTGGCGAAGGAGTCCCCCACGAGCATCTGCGCAGCTGGGTTGGGGTACAGGAGCCCCTCATTCGTCGTCTTGAAGAAGCCCTGGTTGGGGTTGAAGCCCGACTTCAGCAGCTCATTCAGGAACTCCCTGAAGATGCCGCCGCCATCGATGCCGGCTTCGTCCAGGCCGTGCGCGTTGAGCAGGTGGACGCGGATGCGCTTCCTCAGGTCGGGCTCTGGGGAGGAGGGAAGAACGGTCTGAGCTGGGGCAGCGGAGCGGCCGAGGGCACGGAGCAAGAGTGGGAGAGATGCCGGGGCTCGCCCACCTCCACACACCCCTGGGCACCAGCTCGAAGGGTGAGCGGCAGCCATTCACTCCTCATAGGTAGTGTTTCCCAAGGCGACTGTCAGCAGTCAGCAGGTCTGTGAACGTTCTGTGTGGCGATCCTGTGCGTGGGAAGTGTCCCGCCCCTGCCCATCCTCAGCCCTGCAGGACCAGCACTGCAGCTGCGAGGCGTCTCCAAGGAGGGCTGTCTCTGGGACCCCAGGCTGGAACTGCGCCTGGTCCCGCACGTGTCTCTGAACTGCAGGCCGCGTGCAGGGGGTGTGCTCAGAGTGAGGCTCGCCTTCCCGCGACCAGGCCACTGCTTGTTTCTAAGGACAGGCAGAGCATCTGCAGACACGGGAAGGTGGCAGGGAGAAAAACTTCCATGAACCATCACTTTGATTTTACCCCACTGTCACCACTGCTCTTCAGGAAAAAATGTAACAAATCCTGTCCCACAAAGGAAACAACACTGCAGCAGGGCCAAGGAGACTCTTGGGAGAAGCCTTGGCACAGCCAACCCCAGCTCCGGCCACCGTCACCCTGACAATGAAGGCGTCAGGGCCCACTGTGAGGCCGTCCCTTCCCGTCTCCACGGGGACGAGGCCCAGACCGTGCCGTCTCTGTGAGAAGCGCTGCAGTGAGGCTCGGAGCGGTGGGAAGGGCACAAGGCCCTGGGGCCAGGACTGATGTTGGTTTGCTCAGCACCCACCCTGCTCTGAGGGAGTCACTCCGCCCCTCTGAGCTGCCCGCAGCGACTCGTTAATAACAGTGTTGACACCCACACTTTAGAAACTGTTCTGAGATGGTGTGAGATAATCAGGATCCATGAAGGACAGGTCTACTTTAATGACTGGATGATATATGGAATAATCACATTAATTGATTATATGTAAATGACCAGTCAACAGAGCACATCAAACTAATTCCCGAAAGTAAATTAAACATTGTAAGATAGTATTTAACTTTACTAATTTGCCCAGCAAAATACAAAACAATTTTTTTAAAAAAATTCTCACCCGAGGATATTTTTCCATTTATTTTTAGACAGAGGGAGAGAGGGAGAGAGAAACATCGATGTGAGAGAGACACATTGATTGGTTGTCTGCCGCATGACCCTGACCAGGGCTGGGGCCAAACCACAACCAAGGTATGCCCTTGACTGGAATCAAACCTGTGACTCTTTGGTCCAAGGGCTGATGCTTTAACCAATGAGCTAAACCAGCCAGGGAAAATACAAAACAATTTTAACACATGGTTTAAAACTCTTACTAATGAGAACCAGAGAATTCACAAGCCCACCACGTGCACTTGGCCGGCCCGGCTGTCGGCCTTGGCTGTCACCTCACCTGCAGACGGTCTCATCTCCTGAGTCCTGGCCAAGTCCCACCTCTTCATAGAGCCCGTAACACCCTCCACACTCAGCTCTGCTCTGGACAGCAGGCCAGTCGCGGGGGCTCATCACTGCCTTGTGTCTAGCGGCTTTCCCCAGGCTCAACCAAATCCAACCATCACCACTGAGCACAGCTGAGCCGAGCCAAGGACAGGGAGGCCTGGGCTGCACACACACGACCACACCACGAGGGGCTCATGACAGACGTGGAGCCCAAAGGTGGAAGAGATTCCCCCCAAAAGTATGTTAAACGAAGAGTCAGAATTCCTGAATCCCCCATTCACACATAACATCTTAAAAACGTGAACCCCAGGTGAGAGTGCCCAGGCACAGGGCGGGCTCACAGCGCTGTTTGTGGTATCAGCTTCGGGGCTGCAGCCCCGCTCAAGGAGAAAGTGATGCACAAGCAGAGACTCTGCCCACAGCGCCGGGACCAGAGTCCGCCTCCCGTCCCCACAGGAAAACAACAGAACAATCCAAGACTTTGCTTCCTGGGAGAAAGCTGAACGGCTCCTCTAAGAAAGGCCTCTGTGCTCTCCCACCTGACAGCCTCTCTCTCCTGCACCTGTGACCCCGATCCCGCCGAGCTTCCTTTTTAATCTCCTGCATTGATTTCACACTGATTTAATGCAACATCATCACGGACTCCACATTCTGAAGCTACAATTAATAATATATAAATCCCTCCTAAAACTTTTAGCACTGGGTGTCAAACACTAACCTAAGACAAAATGTGTCACCAACCTCTAGATGCTGCCCAAATGATCGTTCCCATGTAATTCCTTTTGTCTAACAGCACCGTCACCAACGCTGCCTTTCCGCAGGCAAGTGGACTGCAACAGTGTCCGTCCCGGGCATCTACCTGAGCTCACAACCCAGAACACTGACGTCAATGGAAGAGCAGAGCCCCCGGTCCGAAGCCCAGGAGTGCCGCCCACCCACAGTGCTGGCACACGCTGTCGGCTCCGCTCTGGGGACAGGCCTGGGCAGCGCTGCAGGGCGGGGCTGGCGCCGTGTCTGTGAGCTTGTGCTGTGACCACCACCCACCAGTCCTGCGATCTCACTGGATGCCGCGGCCTCCTCCCACATCTGACCTGCTGTACCGCAGTTCTACAAAGTCCTTACAGGGCAAGATGAGGGACACTGATCTTTTATTATTTTTTTTAATCCTCACCCGAGGACATTTTTCCATTTTTTGTTCAGGTAGAGTGGGAGGGAGAAAGAGGAACAAAGAGAGAGAGAAACATCGACGTGAAGGGACACATCGAGTGGCTGCCACCCGCACAACCGACCAGGGCCGGGGACAAACTGCAACCGAGGTACGTGCCCTTAGCGGGAACCGAACCCGGGTCTCTCAGGACCACAGGCCGACGCTCTAACCACTGAGCCAAACCGGCCAGGGCTGGACACTGATTTTTTGATGATTGCCTTTTTAAAAACAACTCCCTCCCTGCCCCCACCCCGCCACATGCATACATATGAAGAGAATGATGTATACCATTTTCTGGGGAAAGCTTGTCATAAGCATCTTCATAAATATAGTTTCTTCTTATTGTGACATTGATTCCATCCAGAAAGGGGCCGTCTCCTTGAACTTCTTGCTTATCTGCATAGATCAGCCTCTGAAAGATCTGACACAACACACATGGGACCCATCAGTTACGCGACACAGACTCTGCATAAACATAAGCAACCAGAGAAAAAACTGCTAAGCCTTAACTTCCATATCTCCATAAATTCTAAAACCAATTCTGAAGGCCGAGGCACCGAACACTGACTCTGCCTCATCTATAATGTGTAACATCACATACTCGTAACACTGCTCCCTTTCTCCACTTCGCAACAATTTAAAAATCCATCCTGGCCCTGGCCGGTTTGGTTCAGCGGTTAGAGCGTCGGCCTGTGGTCCTGAGAGACCCGGGTTCGGTTCCCGCTAAGGGCATGTACCTCGGTTGCAGTTTGTCCCCGGCCCTGGTCGGTTGTGCGGGTGGCAGCCACTCGATGTGTTCCTTTCACGTCGATGTTTCTCTCTCTCTGTTTCTCTCTCTCCCTCCCACTCTACCTGAACAAAAAATGGAAAAATGTCCTCGGGTGAGGATAAAAAAATAAATAAATAAAAATAAAAATCCATCCTGTAGTCTAGTCCGGTGTTTCCTGCAGTGACCCTCCAAGGGACCCAGGCGGAGGCTGGGAGGAGGGAAAGCTCTGTGCAGCTGGCCGTGAGCTCGAGCAAGCACAGCTCCATGCTGCAGCCCCGCAGGGGAGCCCGGGAGCCGCGCACGTGTCTGAGCGAGAAGCGGGGACAGCTTCTGCGGGAACACCCGCTGTCTCGCCCTCTAGAAGGGATGGACGGGCCGGAGCCGCTGCTAGTTGGCGAACACAGAGAAAACATTTTTTTTTTTTTTTTTTATCCTCACCCGAGGACATTTTTCCATTTTTTTTTTTGTACAGATAGAGTGGGAGGGAGAGAGAGGAAGGGAGAGAGAGAGAAAAACATCGACGTGAAGGGACACATCGAGTGGCTGCCACCCGCACGACCAACCAGGGCCGGGGACAAACTGCAACCGAAGTACATGCCCTTAGCGGGAACCGAACCCGGGTCTCTCTGGACCGCAGGCCGACGCTCTAACCGCTGAGCCAAACTGGCCAGGGCGAGAAAACATTTTAAATGACATTTGGAAACAGATAAATGTAAACCAAGTTCTGCACATTAGATAAAAACCAACCAGCAAGAAATCAAGATACCCGTCCATCTTTTTTTAATAAAGTATAAATATCTTTAATACAATGTACAGAAGTGTATCTTTTTAAAAAAATAATGCAACATTACTTGATGAAAAGTACCTTATGGCTCCCATCATAAAACAGTAGCATAATAGGCCTTTCAAGTAGTTACAACTAAAGAAAACATATTTCAAGGTTGTACACAGAGGTATCTGGTTGGATCACATGTTTATAAAGCACTGTTCACTATTATAATCCAATGAACAAAATGCAGATGATCTAAGTAGCTGGGCACTAGGCAGCTTCAGAGATCTTTCTATTGGTGTTGATCTCTGACGCTGAAATGACACGCAACAGTAACACCCGCAGGCCCCCCAGAGAAAGACAGGCATACCTTCACCCGCTCCTCGAATGGAACCACGAAGGGCAGTTCTGTCAGGATGGCGAGCTGTCTTTCCTCAGACACGGACAGTGGCGGTGACTCCAAACCCACTGCAACACAGTTGCAAACCTTCGTGACGAGGGCACACTTCCTTCCCAGACTCCCAGGGACAAGCACTGTGCGGTGCAGCTCAAACGCTGCAGAAAGGCAGACATGGGGACGCCACAGGCCGGGGCTGCGGGGGCGGGGGGCTGCGAGGGCGCCCAGGCCGTCTGTGGTGCGCGTGCATCACAAACCACAGAGCAGGCACGGGAAAGGAGCTCCGTGGTCTGAGTTAGGGAGAGCTCACCGTCCAGGGTGGACTGCAGGGGGCCGATCCTCCCCATCCGCCGGAACCTCCACACGTGTCTGGCGGCCGGCACGTACAGCTGGGTGACCTGCGGGCCAGCACTCTGCTCAGTGCCGCCTGCGAGCTGGCCCACGCTCGCCTGTCCCACACGAGCAGTGCGCATTCCGCCTACTGGAGTCAGCTAGGTCTCTCTCTGACCTCACGCCCCTGGGGCGACTCGGGGTGCCCTTGCACACCAGGGAAATGCCACCTTCCCGTCGCTGATGGGACACCAGACACGGCGACCATCACCGACGTGGCTGCCTCACAGAGCAAACACTACGCTCACAGATTCATCAGTGTCCTGCTGTGACCACAGGCACTTTCTTGTCTTTTGGTAAAGAATGAACTTGGTGCACTACGTGCGTCCCAGCAAGGCTGCGCAGTGCCCGGCCCCCAAGTCTGCCCAGACTCCCGGCCTGTGCGCCCTGGTGCCCCGCCGAGCACGTGCCGCCTGTGCTTCCCGCACACCAGTCACACCTGGACTTTTCCAGGCGGGCGAGGGGCTTGGCAAGAGCACCTCGGGCAGGTTTGCGGTGGCTGCAGGTCGGGTGGGGCCAAGGGTAGCGCAGCGCGTGCTCTGGCCCCAGACCCAGCTCTGGGCTGCACCCCACCGCCCACAGACAGCCAGGTCCCGGCCCAGAAAGGGCTTCATGGAGGACGGCTGGGAGACGTGGAGAAGGAGCCCAAGGACGAGCTCCTGAAGGAAAGGCAGGCTGACCTCGTGACAAGTTCTCCAAACCGTGTTCTAAATGATGGGGCTGGGCCTTCGCATCAACCACAACGGTCAGTGCAGCCCTTTCTCTTCAGGCTCATGAGCGCACAGACCAAGCGCACCTGATGTCTGGTCCACTGCACCTGTTCTGACTGAGGCTCACTGTTCACCTCCACCCGGCTGGAGCCCCTCAGCTGGCCCCGGGCTCTCACACCACCCCCACTTCCTAGCCCTCCGGGGACCAAACGCTCCACACCCACCTGTCCCCGTCCTCCCAGGCCTAAGACCAATGGCCGCGCCAACGATGGCCTCTTTTCGGTGGGAATGCTGTTCGGCAGCCCCACCCCGGGCCTGGCCAGAGGGCAGGGCCGGGAGCCGCGTCTCACAGACTGTCACCTGGACAGAGCAACGCTTCTACAATTGTCCCGAAGCAGTTTCCCCAGTGTTTCGGGGACACCTTCGTACCTACGATACCCTCCTCTCTGCCCCCTGAGATTCTGAAAGAAGCCTAATCATGCCCTTTTCTGGCAAAAATAAAAACATCTCATGTCCTTTGTCAATGTTACTTAATTTTTAAAAAAAATATTTTTTCTTTAATGTTAATTTTTTTAAACGTCAGAGCTAAATGTCAGTAACAGTCAAATTTGTTCCTTTAGAAAAATCAAAACTAAAGCTCCATGTTTTTAAGTCCTAAATCTACACCGACGATCCTAGTAGAGCAGAGCCGTCTCCGACCCGAGAACCGCAGGGTCAGCACTGCGCGGCCCGAGAGCAGCGGGAGCTAAGGACCCGGGGCACCTTCCAGTCGGCACACCTGCTGTCGGCGCTGTCCCTCGACCTGAGCGTCAGAGACGAACGGGAAGCTCGCCCTCAGGACTTAGTTGCATGATAACGGGCTGAGCAACTGCAAAGGACTCCTCCTCCCGGAGACACAGCTGCAAACAGCGCAGGGACGACAGCAAAGGCCTCCCAGTACCTTATCGGCTCGGATGTCCTCCTGCTCCGACAGCCAGTGATTCGGGGGGCAGAAGTTCCTCCTCGTGTCTCTGGACTTCAGCATCTTCACTAGGTTGGTGATGACCTGCAGAAGGAGACAGGCCGCATGGCACACGCCCGCCGGCACCGCCCCGTCGGCGCCCAGGCCACCAGGTCAGCGTGCAGAAAGGGTGTCTGTGCCCACGAGAGCGAGCTCAGGTCCAGAGCCGCAGGGGCTGCCAGCACAGAGGGGAGCCAGCAGACACTGCAGAGAGGCAGCGCGGGGTCTCCCTCGGGGCAGTGAGGCCCGCTCCCCGCAGCCCCGCCCAGCCTCTCCTCCAGCACCGTCCCCACCGAGCTCAGCGCCCCTGCCAGCAGCTCCTATGAACAGGCCACTGACCCCTGGGACCCAGCAGGCGCTCGGTGACTGACTTGGGACAAATAATTAATTGTAAGTTTTATAGCATCTGATTAATAAGATCTAATGCCACTGTCTATTTAAAAAGACCTGCAGCTCTATATTAAATAGAAACGTGTTTTGTAATAAACAAAGATAAAGCACGATAAAATTATAAATTCATATGTTTAAACCTTTACCAGCAGGATCTGATCATACAACTATTATGTAGTCAAAGTTAAGAGTATGAAGGTGTTTTCTGAAAAAGTCGGGCTGCCTCTTATTACACCAAAAAAAAAAAAAAGGTAATTTGGGTAAGGAATTAAGATAAAATATAATTTGGATAGAAATGGTAAGATTAGGGTAATGGGATAAATTTCCAAATGTACCCATCCGACAAGCAAGACTGCATCTGTTGTTAACAGAGATTCCCCTTCAAAATCCCACAGTTCAACATCCACACAAAAGAAACACAAATGCTCCTCCTACCACGTGCAGGTCCTGACACCACAGTCTGTGTCCCATGAAAGACGAGAGAGAGGGTCCATGTGGACACCTCTGGCCACTGATGCTGGGGACGCCACGTGGATGACATACATGCCCGCGGACCAGAAAGAGCAGCACCTGCCCCTCTGGCCACGCAGACCCACCTGTGTCAGTGAAACCTCTCAGGATCTATCAGGCAGCTTTGTAACTGGTGGGTATTTGCTACCAGTGAAGCTGTGACCACTGGTGGCACAGTAAAGCCTACCAGCATACCATGGTCACATCCCTTCTCAACAAGCAGAAATGAGCTGAGGTAGGTCGTCAGGTGGCTCCCTCACTGTGGACTGACTGCTGGGGTGGCTCAGGGGTGAGGTCACACAGATGTAGGGCTTTGTGAGCCCTGCTTTCGCAGGTGGCCCAAGAGACAAGGGGGGTCTAGGTCAGAACCATGTCTGACCACTGACCACACACATATTCGTGGAGGTCTCTCCTCCGCTCCCCCAAGAAGGCTGGATCTCAGTGGGCTGCCCTGCATGAGGTACCTTCTCTGGGGCGAGTCCAGAGGAGCCACAAAAACTCATGCCCTTCCCACAGTGTAGGCAAAGCATGGCCTCCTGTGGGACAGTCCTCCCTCCCCACCTCCCACCTGCCCAGCCAGTCGCACTGGCATTTTATACATTCAGATTCAACACTGTGCTGGAGCTCACCCACGACCCCCCACAGCTGTGAGCAAAGACAAGCTGTCTGAGAAATGTTTCTGTGCACTGGCCCATTCACTGCTCGGGCTTCTACATAACATCCCCTTGGACCCCGGCATCCTCGTGAACTGATCACCCTCGTCACACAGCTGAGGACGCTCCGCATCTCTGAGGACAGGCCACCTGCCCAAGGGCACGCAGGGCAGGACCAGGGCTCCCTGATGCAGGGGACAAGTCCTCCCCTCCGCGCTCGTCTCCACCCACATCATGTCTACAACAGCCTTCAGCCTACTTGGGTCACAAGTATCGTTAGACTATCTGTGAGGCAATTCATGCCATGACTTACATTTTTCTTCTCGATTGTCATGAAATTAAACACTGAAAAGTTTCAATATAGGGCCTTCCCTTTCATATTTCACACTGTAAACATAAAAAAGAACTAATGCCATTTTACTTATAAAATGTCCCAGATTACTAGCCCTCTTTCCAAAGAGAGGAAGGAGAAGCAGGGAGAACGGGGAGAGGAAGGAAGATGAGAGTGATCTGGGCCCAGAAGGGACGCAAGACAGAAGTCCCCGTGCAGAAGTGCACGTCAGCAGCTCCAGTCCACCGCAGGCCCGGTGTGCGGCACTCCGAGTTACGTCCGATCTTCAGAAAACACCAGATGACCCTTTTAGTGTAAGTATGTCACAGATGTCACTTCATGCACAGCAGGAGTGTGCCAAAGCACTGCACAGGACATGCTGACATCCGGAAGGCGTGTGCCATCTGAAATTTAACTCAGCCAGGTGGAGCACGTTTTATTTGTAAATCTGGACCCAGCCCAAAGTATTTGTGTAGAGATGTCAAATCCCTCATCATAAATTCAGTGGAGAGCATTCCCTTCTTCATGTAAACTATTTTTCTTGTAAGTTTATAGAAAAGCACAAATTTTAAGAAACCATGGAAGTTAACTGGGCCCTTAACGCTGCCGACGCCTCCAAGCACGGCCCTTCTCTGTGCGTTCATCCCCAGCATCGCAGACTCAACTGCTTTACGCACATCTGATACCAAAAATAGCAAAGTTTATGCAGAGAACCACTAAAAATTACATGAATCAACTAAAGACTGTAAGAAGGAAGAAAAACTGCAGTAACAATTTTTTTTTTAATCCTCACCCGAGGACATTTTTCCATTTTTTTGTTCAGAGTGGGAAGGAGAGGGAGAGAGAAACATCGACGTGAAAGAGACACTCGAGTGGCTGCCTCCCACATGACCAACCAGGGCCGGGGACAAACTGCAACTGAGGTCCGCGCCCTTAGCGGGAACCGAACCCGGGTCTCTCTGGACCGCAGGCCAACGCTCTAACCGCTGAGCCACACCGGCCAGGGCAGGAGTAACAATTTTAAACGGGATCAAAAGACAGCCAGTGCTGAGGCCAGAGCCGGTTCTCTCGTACTTTCACAAGTGTTCTGGCCCAGGCAGCCCCTGCAGAAGACCCACCAAGCTGGAGATGGAGTTCAGGGGTGAGCAAGACCTCGACCCTGGAGGCCCACTCAGCTGCCCCCACAGCCCCCTTTCAGCCCCCCCCGAGGAACGCCATGGAGAACTGCTGTCAGCCGGCTGCGGGAGGCCGAGGGCAGCCAGGCGGAGAGAAGGGTCTGAGGCCCAGAGCGAAACAGAAGGGCAGGCACACACCAGAGGGCTGCCGCACCCGCTCCGTCCACAGAGCTCTGCAGACCAGCAGGGGCACACGCCCGGCAGGATCCCACGCACCCGTGCCCCGTCCCATCTCGCGGCCTTCCACATCAGGTTAAGTCAGTGCTTGGCGCGGCTGAGAGGGCCTCAGCACGCGGAAAAGTGCAGCTGTTACCCATTCCCCACCACTGACGGCCTGAACTGGACCTGAACCAACCCTAGGTGCCCTGGGAGCAGGCTCCCCGCCCCCCACGTTAGAGAGGGGGTGGGTGCTGCTCCTGGGAAGCTCACCGACACTGCCCACCTGCCGACCGGGGTCTTCTCCAGCACTGCGTGTGTGGGTCTACACAGGACTTAGACTACTGATGGGAAAGTGTATTTCTGGATGAAGATCACTGATACTTAGTTATACTGATGTGACCAAAAAAACACATAGTCCACATTTTTAAAGGCATCTGGAAGTCTAATTTCCATTGTAACATGAAATAATAACCTCTTTTTACCTTAAATCTGGTATGTAAATTTGGTAAGTAAAGTTCAAATGTTGGTAATTCTTGAAAAAAATTCAATGCAAAGGATACAGCATGTAATTTATGGGTACTTGGGTGTGGCAAATATGTGTAATATAGTAAATATACAACACATAAACATTTTTTGAAGAACTGATTTCATGCCCGGCTGGTGTGGACACATGCTGGAGTTGTGGGATAGATCCCCAGGAGGGGGCGTGCACGAGGCAGCTGATCAATATTTCTTTCATCGATGTTTCTCTCTCTCCCTTTCCCTTCCCCCTCTCTAAAATATCAATTAAAAAAAAAGTTGATTTCATAACAAAATATGCATAATGATGAAACACGAGAAAAGCTGGAAAGCCCCACCCCACGAACAGGACTATGGAGGCCAGAGGGCCAGAGTCCTGGAGTGGATCAAACCCAGGGAATGACCACGCCGTCCCCTCCTGTGAGCTCCAGGGCCGTCTCCTGCGCTGTATCCTCTCTCTGTAATTAGCTGGATGACACTCAAGACCAGGGCCTCGGGAGGACCCAGCTCAGGGCCCACTCGGTGTTCCTGGGGTCCAGAGAACGGCAGCAGTGACACCGCGGACGTGGACTGACCCAGAGGCTGAGCAAGCTCACTCGGCCTTAGTGACCACTTGCTGCAGCAGGTGCATTTTTATTTTCATTTATTTAAATATGTTTTTATTGATATTTTAGAGAGAACGGGAGAGAGAGATAGAAACACTGATGTGAGAGAGAAACATCGATCAGCTGCCTCCTGCACACCCCTTCCTGGGGATCAAACCTGCAACCCGGGCATGTGCCCTGACTGGGAATCGAACCCGGACCTCTCAGTCCACGGGACAACACTCCATCCACTGAGCCATGCTGCCTGGCGCTGGGTGTGTTAAAGACGACAGTATTCTCCAGCATAGTTCCATTTTACTTCATAGAAAAAACAAAGATGCCCGGCCGGTGTGGCTCAGTGGTTGAGTGTTGACCCATGTGCCAAGAAGTTGCCGGTTCAATTCCCGGTCAGGGCACATACCCAAGTTGTGGGTCCAATCCCCAGTGGGGGGCATGCAGGAGGCAGCCAATCGATGTTTTTTCTTATCGATGTTTCCATCTCTCTCTCCCTCTCCCTTCCTCTCTAATATATCAATAAAAAAAATTTTTTTTAATAAAGAAAAAACAAAGCATGCAGACCCTCGAAAACAGGCAGGACATGGCACAGCCCTGCCAGGACCGAGGCCACTACTCTGCACCGCTTGGTTGGCAGACAGCTGACAGCGGCATGTTATAGTTACAGCTACTGTCTTCAGTTTTAACTTTGAAAAAAGTCTTTTTGAAATTGAAAAAAAAAAAAAAGAAATCAACCACCAAAGCAGCGACAACCCCTCACACTGAGCCCTCTCCGTCCCACCCCAGCGCGTCTCCTCTGGTGGGGAGCCCACGCGCACACGCCCGGAGCACCGGGCCAAGGCCCGCGAGGACAGAGCCCGCGCAGCAGGAGTCTACGCAGGACGAATACCAAGGCCTCGACTGTGTGAGCGGTGTCAGTGCCGGCCTCGGAATGGGCCTGTTCCCACGGTGACAAGGGAAGATGGCCGTCTCCGCTTAGAGTCATCTCTGCACCAGCCAACAGCCTCTCCCAGAAATTAGTTCCAGAGGGCCGGCGTGGGGCTGCAGAGGGGGCTGGCTGGCCAGGGAGGGAGTCAGGTCAACGGAAGGCAGGAGAACCCCTGGCAAAATGCTTGTACCTTCTCAGTTGGTTCTACTTGGATTCTTCACCTTGAACCTGGCACTGCCATATAAACGCTGGCAGTCTACCCCGGTCCTTTCCAGCCACGACCTGCATGACCCCAGTGGTGACACGGGGGAGTACCTCGGCGTCCTCAGAGGCTCCGTGCTAATCGACTCCTACGCGCAGAGCTCTCAGAACGCTGTCTGGAACACATGAGCACTGGGGGAGGTTCTCCCCATTTCACACGACAGAGCACCTGCTCTGTAAAGAAAAACTCACAGCAGCTGAATCCTTTGCTACTCAAAGACCACGCCCTAGGCCTTTTTTTTCCTGTTTTCAGGCCTTGGTTCAATTCACAGGCAGCATAAATTTCCCTAAAGAACAGAAATCCTGGCCCTGGCCAGTTTGGCTCAGCGGTTAGAGCGTTGGCCTGCAGTCCAGAGAGTCCCGGGTTCGGTTCCCACCGAACCTCTGCCTTGGGCACGTACCTCGGTTGCAGTTTGTCCCCGGCCCTGGTTGGTCGTGCGGGTGGCAGCCACTCGATGTGTCCCTTTCACGTCGATGTTCCTCTCTCTCTCTCTCTGTTCCTCTCTCTCCCTCCCACTCTACCTGAACGAAAAATGGAAAAATGTCCTCGGGTGAGGATTAAAAAAACAAACAAAAAAGAACAGAAATCCTGTTAAAAAACTGCCTTCAAACAATTCTGTTCTAAACTCAGAAGGTCTTTGTAACAACCCGATTTCAAACCTAAAACAATCCTTTCCCCCAAAATGAACGTCCGTCCCCAGTCCTCAGAACCCTTGGACCGTCTCGGAGTGGAGCCGGCCACTCGGAGGCGTGAGGTTCAGGACGACTTTCACTTACTGCCAAACAACACAGAGCAGGGCCCGGCCCGCGTGAGCCCTGCCAGGACGCCCGGCGGAGACAAGCCTGTCCCACGGAAGCGGTGACGCTCTCGAGGTGCCATGAGATGAGCGACGATCGGAGGCTGCACACAACGCCCGGTGCCCGATGGGCAGCTTCGTTCACAAAGGCCCCAGGGTGTAGTCAAAGGAGACGCACATGCCACCGCAATAGGCACATCCCGGGCAAGTTTGCATAAGAATTATAGGGTTTAAATGGATGGATAGCTTATTTTTAACTTAGAAAAGTTGCAAAATCGTCAGTCTTTAAGAAAGGATGTGTTGAGGGCTCAACACGTGCCCTTTAGAATTTATTTTGGAACAGAAATAGGTAATTAAAACAAATCGTGCAAACATACGTTCCATCAATCTGCGCAGATTATAAATTCAATGATGCATTAGCACTGTATTCAGCCCGATCAAAACATTATCAGTTACTCTCTCTGCTACTAATGCCCGTGCTCATAAGTGAAATGTGTTGTAAAATCAGGCTGAATGGGCTGGATAGAGACTGCGGTGCACTCGTAGGATGAATAAGCAGTCCTTAATTAGCCATCAGGTTAAGTGCAAGCATTAATGGGCCTTTCCTAAAGTCTAGCTTGACATCTCTCTCCAAACATGGCCAAGAAGAAAGTTCCATTAGCAATATTAATACAAGCTTAGTTGATCATTTTCATTCAATTAACTTCTTTCAATTAAATAGATAGCTTGACAAAAGCAGTGATAAAAGACCCGGAGGGACAGCTGATGACTCGGACTGAGCATTAGAGCGCGAGAGGTCGCCAGTATGAAACAGACTGTAAATCTAGCATTCAATTTGGAAAATGCGTTTCTTCTGCTCTCGCTCCGTTAATGAGCGATTTTAGCTGACGAGATGTGTTTGCTGCAGAAATGTCACGGGGAGTCAAGCCTTTTTCTTTTCTCTTTTTCTCCCCGACAGTCACAGTCGCTCGCAGAGGCGGTGGTTCCCTGCCAACACCCGGCCGCAGGAGCTCCCACGGCTCCCTCTGCATGGTCAGGGACGGGCTGTTTCAGGGTAACTCATATTCAATTTCCATTAAATTGATGACCTTATTCCATCTGTGTTAACCGATTTCTTAAGATTAAAAAAAAATGAAATCTGTAAGAGATCTTTTAGTAAAAAATAAAAGCAAAAACATTAAAACGTTGTCTGTATTTGACCTCGTCACCAGAAGCCCTCAGTCGATTTACAACAGATGCATGGACAGTGTCAGACTGGATTTGGAAAGAGGCCGACGTCAGGGGTGGGGTAGGAGGAGGATCAGCGACCTGAACTTGGGTGGCAAGCACACGACGGACACACAAATCACACACCACCGATGTGCACTCAAAACCTGCACGCTGTCACCAACCATGCACCGTGACACACACGGTTAAAAAAAAAACTTAATAACATTTAAAAGAGCAAAAGAAAAAACGAAACAAACCCAAGGCAAATGTACACTGTTTTTTGTTGTCCTTTGTATATCTTCACCCAAGGACATTTTTCCATGGATTTTTAGAATGGTAGGGAGGGAGACAGAGGGAGAGAGGGAGAGAGGGAGAGAGTGGGGAGAGAGAGAGAAGCATCGATGTGAGCGACACACTGATTGGCTGCCTCCTGCACAACTCTGACCAGGGCTGAGGATTGAACCTGCAACCCAGGCACGTGCCCTAGACAGGGAACCAAGCCCTTGGCCCGTCTGTCCGTGGGCGGACGCTCTAAGCACCGAGCCCCAGGCAGGGCTGCATGGGCGGCTGGCTGGGTGTGCCAAGAGCCCACCTGCTGCTCGGGGCAGCGCCCCGGCCCTCACCTTGAACAGCTGGATCCACCGCTTCTGCCCCGTCTGGACGCACGGCTGCTCCTCGGTGCTGGCGGCCGCCCCGATGCTCTGGAACGCTGTCAGGTACTCCTCGCGGACCTCCGGCTTCGTCTCCGGGTAGGCCAGCTTGATGATGCCCAGGCAGGCGTCCCGGAGGCTCCGGGACAGCGCCACCAGCTCTTCCAGACTGAAGGGCATCAGGGACGATGGCCTCTGACCTACGACTGACAAACAGCCCGACTCCCATCACGATTTCAGAGAAGCTCTCCACACGCTGCAGACGTGAAGGGATGAAGGTGTCTCTCCCACAGGAACACTAGCTCCTCACAGCCTCACCTTCTATGGGGTCACCGAAGAACTCGTTGTCGTGTATGGAGATCAGCGAGTGGCTGAACAGGGAGCTGAACAGGTAGAAGAGTGGGATGATGCGACTGGAGTCCTCCACGGACATGGGAGAGCCCCTCGATATCACCTGCAGCAACGGCACCACAGACCTGGGTGGGCAGGAGTGAAGACACGACACCAGGCAAGTGTCACTGGGGACACGGCACAGCCACGGGCCACGAGTCCACCTAAGGGAGCGGAAGCCCTTCCAACAGCACAGGCGAATCCTCACAAAGTAGAACCCAGGAACCACCTGGTCACTCCCCTGGCCCTCTGCTCAACTCAGGAGATCGTTTTGGTCCCATGGAAAATTCTCTAGCTACCTAACATTGAGGGACATTCAGACGGGTGAACCCTGAGCAGGCCAGGAGCCCAGGACAAAGGCCTGTCCCCACCCTGGCCTGGCACTGTCCCAGCCTGTTTCCTGCCTCGATCCAGTGCGTCTCTGCGGTCAGGAGCAGCCCCTGTTACTGGTTCTGCCAGCACAGGTTCACCCTAAGCTCTTTCCACACTCGAAGGCCCCGTGGCCTGACAGCTGTCCCACCATCCTGGGCAGTCGATGCTGTGGGCACCGTGAACACCTACTTCCAAAAAACCACATCAGGCAAGAGGTGGTCCGGAGTCAGAAGCCAACATGGCCCCTGCCCCACCAGAGCGGGCACAGTAAGGATGGGGTCCCGTGGAAGGCGGGTCATTCCCAGGGGGCTTCGCTGAGCTTGGCGGAAGCCCTGGAGCAGCAGGGCCCCCGGGACACAGCTCAGGGGACAGCACTGCGAGCGGCAGGCAGGCGAGGGACCACATGGACGCTGCTCCGGAAAGAAGGAGCATTCGCCACCCACCCGCCTCGGCGGCCTCGCTCCACGTGCAGCAGTGCTGAGCTGAGCTCTGAGCTCGAGTCCAAAGGGACCCGGGAACCACAGGGACTGGTCCGAAACAGAAACAGTGAGGGTGGTGAAGGGGATGGAGCGCACCTCCCACTGCACGGACAAAGCCGGGGGCAGAAAAGACCAAGTATGTGCAGGGTAAAGGGGTGCTTCACCCACAGCGGCAGCTTCCTGTAAACTGCGCGTCCTGTCCCCCAGTTACTCCCCACCATGCCCACTGGGCCATCCACACGGTAATGTTTTGCTGACATATGGGGAAAAGAAAGTCAATGTTATGCTTTGTTGATATCAGTAAAAATGCTGGTTTGCACCTTTTACTGCATTGCCACTACATGCAGAACCACACACATAACAGACGATGTCAGAGAACAAACCCTAGTTAGGGGAACATGGTACACGGTGAGCTAACCAACAGCAAAGTGAAGAAAGTATTTCCTGAATCTAAAGAAGTGGTGCACCAGCTTCCACTGTTGCTGCAGTCGGTAATCCTTGCACTCAAAATCACCACCACCACCACCACCATAAACACCACCATCACTACCACCACCACAAACACCACCACCATAAACACCACCACCATCACCATAAATACCACCACCACCACCATCACTACCACAACCACCACAACCATAAACACTATCATCTCTACCACCACCAGCACCATTATCATAACCACCATCACCATCATCACTACCACCACCACCACCACCGGGTGGTCACCCGCACATCTGCAGCAGGAATACATCCCACAGTGGTCCCTAGAACGAGGCTGGGCAGCTCTCCAGCATCAGTGACGTTCTAAGGAGCAGGCAGCAGAAACCTCCTCACTCTGACGGCTGAGGTGTGATGAGCAAGAAGGTCCGGCACACCTGGGTTCCTGTCCAGCGAGGGCATGACTAGAATGTGTCTCTCAATTCTCTGATGGCTCTTCCTGCCAGAAACACTGACTCAAATATTCCTCTGAAAACAGGTCAGTCTGAAAGACTTACGTGCAAATAAAAAGTCCATAATTTATTGTGATGGACAGACAGGACTGGTAACTAGCCCATCAGTGCCGACGAGACCTCAGACAGTCCCTGGCCTCTGTTCATGTCCTCTGAATGAGGGGTTGTAGGCTGGGCCCTGGCTCTCCCTCCCACCCCCAACTGAGAGAGCCTCTCTTGCACCCAGGGGAAGCATCCACTAAACGCATTCCTGCCTAGAGAGTTCAAGGGCACCGACCACTGAGACTGCTGCCAGCCCGCACTGCGGGCACGCGTGAGAAGAGCGGGCAGCGCAGGTGAGAGCAGTCCTGCTGAGTCAGGCCGCCAGGAGCCCACCAGCTCCGGGGTGGTCCCGCCAGGCGGTCTGGCTGAAGGACGTCTGAGGGGAGCAGACACAGGCCGGCCCTGGTTCCTTCATCTTCACCTGCATCCCAGTCGCCAAGGACCCCAGAGGCCCAGGCCCCTGGCCTTCTAACCCAGGCCCCGAACCCAAGCCTTGGGTGGCACAAACCAATGAGCAGTGAGACCGCCCCGGACAGCTCACAGTCACTGAGCTCCGCAGACCCGGCTGTGAGCATCCTGCTGTAAAACTGGTTTTGAGTTCAACTCAACGTCATTTTCAGAAAAATCAGACATTTTATTCCAACAGTAAATATGAGCTACACATCAGGATGGATGAATACACTCAAGTTTCTTGAGGGGCTTTATTTTGATAAGTTAAACAAGTAAGAAGAAACTCAAATTCTCACAATGGCCTTTTAACAGCGCTGAGTCTAACGCACTCTGCGGACTGCATCTCTCCTTCCCACCACGCCCTCTTGGCAGGGACAGCGTGAGCAGGCGGCCAGCCCCCGGCAGAGCTGGAGCAGGGCCTCTGGCGCGAGCGCAGACACACACAGGGCAGCGATTTCCTGTCCCAACCTCCTCCTGCTGAAACAAACCCGTCACCACGAATGCCAAGGCCACACAGTCATGAGCGGCTAAAATGCTCCCAAAGCAAAACAAACCCACCTAGACGTCTGTTCGACGTGAAATGAAGAAAGGGGAAGGACATCACTAGTTTCCCTCCTCTGTCTCTGTGACGGTCATTTGGCACAATCGCCTCTAGGAGCCCCTCGGCTGCAGGGGTGGGACTAGAGAACAGACAGACCCTCACCACCAGCAGCCTGGACAGGCCTGGACACAGCTCCTCTCACTCAGGCCGACGGTCGTGATGCTGGGCACTGAGATGGGTCCTCCTTCCTCAACAAGCCACACTGACAAGCGCGAGCTCAGAGCCACAGCACGGACCCCAGCCCCACCTGACACGCTACACCCCCAACCACACTGCCGGCGACTAAACGTCCGAGTGTGGGACACCCACCCTCACCCACAAAATCGTCCTTCTTTGTACTTCTTGTTCTCCACCTTAAAAAAAAAAACCCCAAAAGAAAAAGAAAACAAAACAAAAAGAAACTCTTCGAAGTCCTGCCTGGGACCTGACCGCCCTCCCGCGGGCTGGCTCACGCGAAGGCCCCCGAGGCGCAGGCTCTCCCGCGCGGGCGCCACAGTTCAGGCTCCAGGGCCGGGCCACACGGCCTCCTCTCCCTGTGACAGTGAGGAGGGGCCAGTTTAGACCTCTGGCAGAGGGGACACTCGACACGGCAACAGGTAGGGCAGTTTCCGTGGATGCTCAATTCTCTGCCTATTACTCATTCAATTAAAATGCGTAAAGGTTCTTGCCTTCAAGCTACACAATGATTCAGATAAGAACAATCAAATTATTTCAACACAAAGTTTTTAAAAAACCAACTTCTACAATAGTTGATATCTTTTAATGTTTGCAATGGCAGTAAATTTGCTTCAAATCTATATTTTTCACCATCAAAAGCATAGGAAAATCATATGGAGCAAAGAAATTTCAAGTCTCTCGTTTCCAAAAGTGACTAGGATTTTTAAAACAAATTAACCTCAGGTAAAACCATACTCTTGATAACTGTAAAACTAGCACTGATTTTTTTCTGTGTGTAAAATTCAGACCGTTTAGAGTTTACCTTCTAATATGGAATAAACTAGATATAAGCGTTGGGGTTGTGCGGGAGGCAACCAATTGCTCTCTCTCTCTCCCCCTCCCTCCACTCTATTTGAAGATAAATGGAAAAATATCCTTGGGTGAGGATTTTTTAAAAATCTTGCAACATTTTTATTAGTTTGCCACTTCCCAGGTCCTTAATCATAAAAAAAAAATTGTTTTTCTGTATTGATTTTGGAGAGAGAATAAGGGAGAGGGAGAGAGAGAACATGGATGAGAGAGAACATCGACTGGCCGCCTCCCGCATGCCCCCCACTGGGGATCAGGCCCACAACCTGGGCATGTGCCCTGACCGGGAATCGAACCGATGACCTCTTGGTGCACAGTCGACGCTCAGCCACTGAGCACACCGGCCAGACGCCTGTGTCCTTAATCTTAGTCTACCCGCCCAGGGACACGTACCCAGTGATCATCCGTGTGGTCATGGAAGATATGAGGACCCAGAGGTGCCGCAGGAACCTGGCGTTAAAGGCTAAGCTGTAGAGGAGCCTGAAAGGGAGGGAAACAAGAGTCAGCATGTGCTCAATGTGCTTCTTCAAAACACTGTGCTGAAGACACGGTGCTCTCTGAATACGTCTGTACTAACAGCTCAAATGCTGCACCCACACCAGGCTACGGGGCACCCTGACAGCTCTCCTGAGCGAGACCCCGAGCTGTGCCCAGAGGCCCTAAGCAAACAGCTGAGTGTGCTCCCCTCAGAGGACATGCCACAATGTCACTATGTTACAGCGTCACGCGTTACTATTACTACTACTAATATACATTGTAAAAACTTTAAATATTTAGCAACTGACTTTTAATGCTCCACTCTCAAAACAGCACATGATTGTTTAATGTCAACTAATACCCGAAAAATAATGTAAATCTAAAACGATATTGTGCAGGTTAGAAGGCCCCAGCACAGCAGCAGCTCGTTCAGGGTGAGCAGCCCGGGCCCCTCTCAGCGAGCCCTGCGGTGCGTCCTCTGCACAAAGGGCACAGCCGGAAGGAGGCCGGCAGGTGCTGAGGAGGCAGGAGCCCGCGGGACAGCACAGCAGGAAGGGCCGGGGACGTGGTCTGAGCGGAATGGGCTCTGACGTCAGTTGTCCTGGATCCGGCATGAAATCCTGGGCCACTCAGCTGACTGACCCCATTCAGATGTCACGGAGCAATGTTTCCCTGAGATAACAAAGAGGCAGAACCTCTCCGGCTCTGAGCCCTTCCCAGCTCAGACCCGTGATGATTCTACGTGAAGTGTGTGCGTCTGTCACAAGCACACAGTGTGACAGAGTGCGACAACCCACAGGGATGCCAACCAGGCGAGCCTCAAAATTAGGTTAAATTTTTTTTAATTCATTGGAATAATGAAAAAAAAAAATCACAAACAACACAGTCAGCTCCAGGAGATCAGTGAGCCAAGCCGTGACCCGTGAGCGCTGCAGTCGTCTGGCTGCCCACCCACGCCACGTCGGGGAGACCACGCCCCATCTCCGAGACACCGAAAACACTCACCACACCAAATACCTAAGGAAAGTGTGTTCCAACTTTGTTTTCCTGCCTTTATGGAATTTTACATGCTTGGAAGGTAACCCAACAACTACACAGAAAATAGAATAAGAAAAAAATGCATGAAAAATATGAATTTTCAACATAAGAGAATTCTAGAAAGTCCTATCTCCTTGCCTTATTTCTCTTCAGTCAAGAAACTGGCTTCTTTTAGAAAATGTACTATGCAGTGTAATTTTACTGATAGAGATGTCTTAAAATTATGCTAAGTATAAATACTAAAATGTAGCCCCTCAAAAATCTGAAAAACCACATATTCCATAGGTGTGCTTCCTTTGCTGTTTTTTTTTTTAATCCTCACCCGACGACATTTTTGCACCCATCCTCAGATAGAGCAGGAGGGAGGGAGGGGGGAAGAGAGAGAGAGAGAAACATCGACACGAGAGGGACACATCGAATGGTTGCCACCTACACAACCCCAACCAGGGCCAGGGACAAACTGCAACTGAGGCACATGCCCCCAGCGGGAACCGAACCCGGAACTCTCTGGTCCGCAGGCCAACCACTCAGACACTGAGCCAAACAGGCCAGGGCTCCTTTGCTGTTTTTAACAACACCACAACATGGCCAAAGAAGTAAGCTCCATCCACCCTCCCCGGGGGAATCGGAGTCAGTGCCTTGGTATGACTGCTGCCCAGGGACCTCTCTGCACTCCCGTAAACAGAGCAGGTCCCTACACATCCTGTCACAATGAACATCCTTCCACACAGATCTGAACACATCTCCAAAGTTATATTTCACCTTAACTTGGAAACAATGACATTTCCTGAATTAAGCCCTCACTAGACAATGAAACACGCATATGAATCTCTGAAGGTTCTTCACACGTCCTGGGGCGTGTTAAAAGTTTCCTGGGGCTCTGTGGCTGAGACCAGCCATGAGCACCAAGCACAGGGCGACACTGAGAGCCTGGCCGCAGCACGGGCTGCTGTCTGCGGGGCCAGGGGAGCTCTTCGGAGCACGTGGGGGCCAAGGTGGGGCGGCAAGGCATCCCATCCCGATCCCCCACAAGCGAAGCTGTCGCAGGCCCAGCAACGGGATGGCCAGTCACCCAGGGACCCTGCACACCGGAGCCACAGGCGCAGCCTGGCCACGCTCCTGCCACAAGAGTGCTTTGTCGGTAAAAGCAACATCAAATGCGTTTTACTGCTGACATCATGCAAGATCAAACATAAATTCTAATTTACCTTACTTGTAAGGAAAACTTTAAGGCACATTTCAGTTAGAGGCAACTTGCTAAAACCTTTTCCTTTACAGACAAACTAGGAACTAGACCAGAAGATAAGCTTCAGACACACAGCTGTGTTAAAGGGACATTCCAGTGCTAACTGCACTCCCAGTCCAGACTGACAGCTCCCGTTCCCCTGACAACCGTGTCTTCCCCTTTCAGATGGGCGGCCTCTCTCTCTGCCCAGGTGCCTGTGAGCCAGGGGAGCAGCACCCGCCGCCCCAGTGCTGGCCTGAGATCCTCCCTTACTCGGTCTTCATGTGATTTTTCAAACAAACACACAAAACGCTCCAGCAGCCTTCACGAGGCCTCTCCCAGGTGTGTGTGCGTCTCCTGCACAGCAATGGCGTGTGCAGCGCAGGGGTTCTGAGCGGCTAAGAATGCGGTGCGCGGAGCTCCTGCCGGCTCACCATCGCGTGATGTCGCGCCAGGCTCAGCAGTGACAGCGCTGTGTGTGCAAACGTTAGAAACTCAGGAATTCTACTTGTAACCTGACAGCACGATGCAAATTTTAACACCCAGTGCCTTGGTATGACTTCGAGACCCAGTTACATCGACTAATTATACTGAGAATGTCACTGATAATAAAAGAGAACAACATCACAGGCAAAAAACAACTTTGTTTCTCAATGGAAGAGCCTCCAATACTTCTTCTAAAATATTATAAAAATTTGTTTACAAAAACATGAACAGGAAACACAAATCTGTATTTTTCTGAACTGAAGTCATCTTCCTAATCATTCTAACCCAAAAGAATGAAGACACGAACTTGTGTATGGAGAACGAAGGGTGCCCGTTTCCACGCCAACCCCTGGTGCAGGGCAGCCACCGGGAAGCAGCCACGTGTCTCCAGGCCATCCCCATCTGCCACCGTGACTGACAGCACAGGCTAGCTGGCCTGTTCTCTTAATTTTTGGTAGAGAAATCAAGCACGTGTTGTAATAAAGTGATTTGTGATGCCTTAACATTTGATGTATTTACAAGAAATCTGCAGGCAAATTACACCAACTCCTCTGATTCCTGAAATACTACCTTTAAAATTCTGTTTCAAAGTTTCTGGATCACAGAAGGAAAGAGCCAAGCCCCAAAGAACACGCCATCCACCCACTGCAGGTGCACACCCGGCCCTGGAAGCGGCTCAGGGAGCAGCTGCCTGAGAGCTGCCCTGGGGCAGGGCAAGGGGACCTCCGTCCAGACACCCAGGGAGGTTCCCGCAGGACGACGGCCTGAACACACCCACAGGTGACTCGGCCGAGGGGGACGAGAGGGGGACGGCGCTGCCTGCACGGACCAGCGCGGGAGGAAGGAGAGGAGCCAGCGCACGGGACCACGGGACCACGGGACCACGAGAACGCAGCGCACGCCTGGCTGAGGCGGAAGCGTCTGGTGGCCAGGAGCCGTCAGAGGCGGCAGACCGTGAGGAAGGGCCCGCGTCAGTGGCCGAGGAGGCCCAGGGGCGACGGTCCGCGCTGAAGTGAGAGTGTGCGGCACCAGGGCCCAGCTGACAGCTCCGTCTGGGAACCACTGCGCAGGCCGCAGAGCTGCGCGTCCTGAGCCTGGGCGCACGCGAGGGTCAGTGAGGGCGGTGGGACTCAGCCCACGGGCCCGTCTGTGAGGACACGGCCGCCGCCACGCCGAGCTCTGGGCGTGTGGCGAGTGTGGCTGAGGAACTTCACCCGTGACCGGAGTGCAGCAGCCACAGTCGTAGTGACTCTGCAGGGCAGCCCGGCACGACCGCCTCGGGAGAGATGCGGAGCTAGTGTGGGGGTGCCCAGGTCTGAACACAGGCCTGGGAGCAGCTGGAGGGGTCTGGAGCTCCAGGGGGCGTAGGCACTTGTATGAGGAGGGTCCACTGAGCAGGGAAGAGAAAGTGAGCAGACGCAGCAGCCTATGGGGCACTGACAGACACGACCTGTGGAGAACGGGGTGGCTGGTGTGGGGCTGTGGGCGGCCTGCACTGGAGGACGCAGCGGTGAGCAGTGCGGGCCAGCACCCCACATCTCCCTCACGCCGGGAGCTGCTGCGGCTCATACTCTCTGCTCCACTGTGTCACCTGGACAGGCACCTTGGAAACTGCTCCGTTTCTCGTGCAGCCTGACGATCGATCTTCACCGGAAATCAGAATCCAAATCTCAACCCGTGAGACGGGGTCTGGCGCGAGCCTGGGGAGACTCGAGAGCCCCGGGCCTTCCTGCAGACGCGGCCCTGCATGCAGCGGGGAACCTACTGACCCCACTTTAAGCACCCTTTAAAAAAGGGGAGCCCTGGCCAGGTGGCTCAGCTGGTTGGAGCATCGTCCCGTGCACAGAAAAGTCGTGGGTTCGGTTCCTGGTCAGGGCACATGCCTGGACTGTGGGTCTGGTCCCTGGTTGGGGCACGTACGAGAGGCAACCAATCGACGTTTCTCGCTCGCTCTCTCCCTTCCTTTCTCTCTAGAATCAATCAACATATCCTCGGGTGAGGGTTTAAAAAAAGTTGAAAGTAGTTAAGAATCTTACAGCCATGAAGGTGAGCCTATCTGCTCCTTCACAAGCTATAAAAACATCTAAATACTCAAAACGCAATATACTTGAACCACAGCTACGACTCCCGAGCAGTGTCTTAGAGGCAACAGGTGCTCCCCTCGTAAAGCGGCTCCCTAGCCCCCAGAGCAGGCGACCACTGCCCCTCGGTGGGCTCTGTGTGCAGTGAGAACCCGGGGCGGCTGTGCCCTCAGATCTGCATCCTGCCCCAGTGCTATCAGCCTCCCAGGCAGCCGACGCCCTCCCGCCAGAAACAGCAGTCAGCCGGGGCGGCTCCCGAGGAGCTGGCCACCCCAGTGCCCCCGGGCCTTCCTGCAGACGCGGCCCTGCATGCAGCCCGCCTCAGAGCGGCTTCCTCCCCAGGGAAGCCGTTCACAGAAGTGACAGAGGCACCCGACATGGCCCAGGACCAGCAGGACAGGCGTCCAGCAGTCGCCCTCAGCCCACACCGGCTCCTCGTTGCTCCGAGAACACCTGCGTGCGCAGGGAGCCTGAGAGGGCGTGTCACACGCTGCCTGGAACTGCGGACACGAGCCCAGCTGTTCACCATGGCGGCCAGGACGACTGCCCTTTCGTAGACAGAAACTAGCGGATTTCATCAGCTCATGTGTCCAGGGGACCCAGAGCCCAGGCCAGGAAGGACTCAAACAGTGCGAGCTGACGTAGGGAGACACCGACTTGCCGCACCTGGACGCCCTACACCGTGTCTACAGGGAGCAGGGGCAGGCAGGCACGAGGCGGGGCACACATGCCTGACTCGGGGCACCATCATCCGCTGCTGCACCATGAGCGTGTGGCAGATGCAGGCCGTCAGCGTGAAGGCCTCCTCGCTCGCCGAGTCCCTCCACACCAGGCTGAGCAGTGTGTTGGTCTGCTGCTTCGTGTCCAGCTTCTTGAGACACTCCTCCGTGATGTACGGTAAGGACAGCCTGCCGTTCACCTGAAACACACCAGGAAGTCGCTCCGAGTCAGAGGTGCTGTGAGAACTCACCGCGCCCTGCAGAGAAGCAGGGCGTCTCGATTCCCTTCGGCCACAGCACAGGGCAGGCGTCACAGTCCGTCCTCGTTCATCGCGGCTAATCAGTTCAGGCTCGACCGCGATGAACGAGTTTCCGCGAAGTAGAATTCTTTATTTATACCGTCCTCCCTCGCCACTTCAAGCTTCATTTTTCACATTTTCCCCGGAAAAACCGCGATAGAGCGAAGCCGCGGAAGTCGAAGTGCGAAGTGGCGAGGGACGACTGTATTCGAAAACCGTCTACATCACCATGGACACACCAGTGTCTACAGTGCCGGTCAGAGGGAGCTGAGCTCCCCAGACACCCGGTCACTGTGAGGCCCCTGTTCTGGCCACTGGTGTGGCAGTCTCTTTAGCATTTACATTCTGAGAAATGCCCTTCATGCTGTTAGGTCATGTTGTACTATGCACACTTCTGTGAAAATATATTAACATGGACAGAATTGCCATTTTAAATTATTTGAGACCAGCTTAAGCAAAACAGAATATTGGAGAACTTTCATTAAGTATTTGAAAGCTGTCTTCTAAAATCAGAAGTTCTACCTTCGTCCATCTACACGCTACAGGACCCTAATATCCTAGTTCTTTCTGACCACACTCTGAAGTTCAGGTCTTGGTGCAGAGTTCCAAGTCTGGACAGATGCCCGGGCCTGGGCCCCGCCCCCGTCAGCACAGTCTGTGCGCAGAGGGACAGTGCCCATGCCCTCTCGGTCCCCACGCTGCAGACTCTCCCCCTGACCCACTCTCCCCGTGCCCTCCGGAGACCGGACTTTGTGTCAACCTAACAGAAAAAGCTGTGAAACCCACCCCAGCCAGACCGCAGCCATTTCCGCTGTGTGACTGAGAGGAAAGAGGCCAGCGGCAGACATCATGCATGACACACAAATGACGTGTGCCTGTTGCAGACAGCTTTCCACCCCTTGGAAACACACAGGGAACGACACTGGGGGAGAAATGGGAGGTGAGTGTGACAATGCGCTTAGAGTTTGCTCTAAAATAAATCCCAACATTTATCATCTATGAAGTTGGCAAAATGACCAAGAGACATAACTTGACGCTCATGGGACAGGCTGACTCTCAGGGGCTGGGCTGGGGGAGCGAAGCCAGTGGCCCCAGCCTCTGAACTGTGCATCACGGAAGAGGGTGAATGTTATGGTGAGTGTGTCTGAAAACAGCTGTTATGAACTCTTCTTATAAACACAGGAAGTGCACCTCCTGAGAACGTCACCCAACCATCTCGCTTCTTCAATAGCTGATCATATACAATCTGACCTCCTTAGCACGCAGACCAAACACAGAGCTCTGCCCTCCATAAGCCCTGGCGCACGGACGGCATCTCAGGGGTGTGCAGGCCGTGGAGGTGAGGCTGTGTGCGCTGTCTGAGTGCTTGAAACAAGAACACCCTCGTGCTTCCCCGTGCCCCAAGCAGACGGGCGCAGTGACAGAGGCGCTCCAGGAGCGCGGGCCGGCTCACCGGCGTGCTCCTCCTCGTGTCGGCCTCGGCGCTCTCGTCCTCAGAGTCGCTGGCGGAGTCTGGGCAGCTGGCGCTGGCAGGGGCGGCTGGCAGCTGGGACAGGAAGGTCTGCAGCACTCGCAGGTACAGCAGCAGGCCCTCCTCAGACAGCGTCCCTGTGGGAACGACCGTGTTTCACGAAGGCCACTCAAAAGAAACTGGTGTCACTTTCCTCCCACTCGCAGAGGGACTGCTGACCAGCACGCACTGGAGAACGGATGCTCGTGCGCAGAAGTGTGTGTGAAATGTGTCAGAGGAAGACGCACCAGTCTAGATGGAGCGCCGCAAGTCTGGCACGAACGGGGAGACATCCCACGAACACACCGTTCTCCCACTCAGCACGAGCACTCCTGCTAACCTGGGGGGCTTCTACCAAGGGCTGTGCCCAGCACTTTCCCCAGGGGCACAGTTCAGGACAGTCCTTCAGCCAATGCACCTTCCAGGAAAGTCCCACCGCCCGGTACTGCCTTCTCTTGCCCCACCCGCACCCTGCGGACACGTGAGCTCAGGTGAGAGCACCTTGTTCATACCCAGGTAGTTTTCGCCGACGGTTAAGACGAAGTAGAAGAGCCACGGTGCGCTCCCACGGGCCCTCGAGCCCCTGCCGTCCACCGACAGCAGCGCATCCAGAAAGGGCTCGAAAGGGAAGGCGGTCTGGGCGTCCGCCAGAGCCGGGACGACAAAGTGGAACACCTGGTCTGTGAAGGGCGCCGCCAAGCATTCCTCCGTGAAGGCCGCAAACACCCGCTGCCTGAAGGGAAACCGCGCACTTTTAATAAAATCGGAGCAAACCACCTGTAAAACCCACGGTTAGATGTAACCACGGAATCATTTAGAACGAGCCTCCCGAACAGATCGGAGCTGAGCACTCGGCATCAACCAGACCACCTGCAATGAGCGCCGCCTGGTTCTTCCCTTGGGAGAAAACACCGTCACGACTGGCATGTCTGACAGCTACCCGAGAGCAGGGGATGACCAGGCTGTCAGAAGGGTAACTTCATATTAGGGCACAGGCCGGACAGAGAAGCACATCTTTCTTTAAGCTGAGTCACATCAATAAGGCAGAAATCGGACTCCGAGTGTTATTTACGCCATCACCTGTGTCACGGTCACTGTCAGGACAGGGCCCATGAGAGCGAACACAGAGTGGCCGCGCTTACCTTGCGCCATCCGGACAGGACGTGTAGGTGCAGCGCAGTGGTCTCAGAGCGTTCTCCAACAGTGCTTTCGCTGTAGGGACTCGAGGTAGATCACAATACTCAATACTCGATGGAAGCTTGCTGTTGATTAACAAATAGAGAGATCTATAATACCCTAAAAGAAAGGGAAAACATATATTTAAAATTTGGTACCTTTTCTTATGAGGAAAATAACATGTCAGTTTTTAAATGCTTTTATAAAACTCTTATCAGTCCAAACCTAAGTGAATTCTTCAACTTTTTATGAAAAAAAGCTTTGTAAAAACACGCCTCCTGGAACGGCAGGTACGTCCCCGGCACCGGGCACGACTGACGACTGCACCTGGCCTCCCCGCGTGCGGAAGCCAAGCCGTCTCCACTGGCTGCCGGGGATGAGGGCTCCTCCTCACACACACACGGCTCAGCCAGAGTGAGTGAGCAGCGGCGCCGCATCCAAGGCGCCGTCAGCGCTCGAGCCCGCACGTGCCTCCCGCGGGCTGTCTGGTGCGTCTGCTCGTCAGGCCCGAAGCCGCACACCAGGTGCTGCGTGGTCTGAGCGCTCTCCCAGTAGGTCTGTGGTTTGAAAACACGTCTCGCTGACTCACGGACTTGCACAGACCGCTGCACTTCCACCCACTGGTCATCCTCCCTGACCCTCAGCCTGCCCTCTCTCTGGTCAGCGGGCTGCAGGGGCTCCTGGGCAGTGGTCACTGGGAGCGTTTCTGCCTGCTGCTGGGACACGAAGTCCAGTCTCACTCTCTCAGCTCCTCACCGGGACCCACAATCAGCCTTTTCTCCAAGGACTTACATTCCACTGACAGAAACTGCATCTCTGTGAATCACAAACGGGCACTGAGGAATCTCACCATTTCAAAGGCAACTTCCAAGTGAGCAGAAACATGTCTTTTCTAACCGCTGGTGGCATCACCAATGCCCCAAATCAGAGAATCTTAGGAAGAGCTGCCCTTCTAACAGGGAATGAGAACACTCCTCAGGTGCAGTGTGCAAAGGCCTCGTTACTGCAGCCCCTGCATGGCGCGTGGGAGCCAGGACCAGCCATGTCCACAGAGCCACCGTCAGACCCCAGCTCTAACCTCACACTGTGCTGACCAGCGAGATGCAGCCGGCAGGGTGGGGAGCTGGAACGCTCGTCTCTACAACTCTAAGATGCGAACACAGTGGAACAGAAAACACAGATCTCAAGGAGACGTCCACAGGGACGTGGGCAGGAGGCGGTCGCACAGCAGCGCGGCCACAGGGTCGTCCGCCGCAGCTGTGCAGAGCTCGGGGGCACAGCGGAGGGCGGACACAGGTGAACTGTGACACACGGACCTAACACTCTGCAGACAGATGCGCAGCAAGTGGCTCACAAGGCAGCCGAGAGCGGCCGCAGCGCAGATGAGCTGGAGGCAGCAGCTCACGGCAGGACGGGGACGCATTTCCAGCTTCAGGATACGTTCGTTCAAACCAGCACGTTTTAGTTTTGTCTTCATACTTTCAGACAATGAAAAAAGTAAAAATTCTAATTGAATGCTTAGCCTTAAATCAATATACTTGCTGCATCAATGAATACAATGGATCATTTCTAATAATTACTAATTTGTTTAAAAAAAAAAAGTTCAACGAATTTCAAGTTACTTTTAATTAATTCCTTAATATCTCAGCAAACTAAGTAGGGTTTCTTTTTTTAGAAGAAAGTTAAGCCCTGGCCGGTTTGGCTCAGCGGTTGGAGTGTCGGCCCACGGACCAGAGACCCAGGTTCAGTTCCCACTAAGGGCACGTACCTCGGTTGCAGTTTGTCCCTGGTCCTGGTTGGTTGTGCGGGTGGCAGCCACTCGATGTGTCCCTTTCATGTCAATGCCTCTCTCTCTCTCTCCCTCCCTCCCTCCCATTCTATCTGAACAAAAAAATGGAAAAATGTCCTCGGGTGAGGATAAAAAAAAAAAAAGTTAAGCCACAGTAAGGTTGCAGTGTATAAGACTTTAATTTAATTTTTAGTTTTGACTGTGAGGATTAAATTAGCTAGATTTTAGCCTAGATTAGTCCGTAACTTTAAGCAAACAAAAGCGAGCTTACTTATGCTCTCATCAGCAGCCGCTGTTTCCACAAGTGCCCACAGCTGGCTTTGTGACTAATGACATACCTTTTTTTTTTTGTAAATCCTCACCCTAGGACACTTGTGCACTGGTCCGTAGAGAGAGTGGAAGGGAAGGAGGGAGAGACATCAATCGGTTGCCTCCTGCATGATTGGGGTCAGGGATCGAACCTGCAACCCAAGCACGTGCCCTTGACACGGAATCAAACCCATGACCCTCAGGTGGACACTCTAACTGCTGAGCCAAACCAGCCAGGACATGACATGTGTTTTTTTATTCCTCACCTGAGGATACTTTTCCACTGATCTTCAGATAGTGTGAGGAAGGGAGTAAGAGAGGGAAAGAGAAAAATGTCGACGTGAGAGCGACACATCGACTGGTTGTCTCCTGCACGGCCCCAACCAGGGCTGGGGATGGAACCGCAACTGAGGTACGTGCCCTTGACTGGAATTGAACCCAGGACTCTTTAGTCCACGGGCTGATGCCCCAACTGCTGGGCCAAACTGGCCAGGGCTAGAAATCAGAATTAAAAATTTTTCATTTTAGCCCTGGCCGGTTTGGCTCAGCGGTTAGAGCGTCGGCCTGCGGTCCCGAGAGACCCGGGTTCGGTTCCCGCTAAGGGCATGTACCTCGGTTGCAGTTTGTCCCCGGCTCTGGTCAGTCGTGCGGGTGGCAGCCACTCGATGTGTCCCTTCACGTCGATGTTTCTCTCTCTCTCTGTTCCTCTCTCCCCCTCCTACTCTACCTGAAAAAAAAAAAAAAAAAAAAAAAAAAAAAAAAAAATTTTTCATTTTATTTTATATTGTTTAATTCATTATAAAACTCTCAAAATCACGTGTATTTTATAGTCTTTCTCCAAAACAGTGTCACTGATGTGTCCTCAGTGTGGTCATCTTCAGAAGAGCACTGGTGTGTAAAAGCTTTGAGAAGGCTGGGAAGGACACACACGGGGTCCTCCTCCCCTCTGTGGCTACAGTGGTGACTGCAGATGGCTGGTCAGCAAGACAGGCCCCAGCCCGGCCTCTCTGCCCGGTGCTGCCCGGCCCCAGAGGGCTGCCCCGCAGACGGGGCACCAGAGCACCCAGGACGGCGGCTGGCAGCGCACCAACTCGTTTCGCTCACAAGCGATAGGAAGAAGCAAGTGAAGAGACTGAACACATTCCCAAGTGTCAGGCTGGGCGCAGGCGAGCACAGGGGTCAGCAGGTGCTCCCGCCACGCGCGCGTTCCCTGCCAGGGCCCACGTGACACCCAGGGAAATGAGAAGCCTCCTCAGCGCCGTGCCTCCCCCACGGCCAGACCAGCTCGGCCCAGTGGACCGCCCACCACTCACCATTCTGAACCATGTAGAACAAAACTTGCTCAGTCACTGACACCGCACTGCCAGCATCTTCTAAGACAGGCGAGTACGTCTTCTCAGACGAAAACACCTCGAGCATCCGCATTGGAAGAGCGACGTTCAAACTGTCATCCTCACAGTTCTGCAGCAACCTGTGGAAACAGGGAGCATTCACATACTTCCTGGAGGGAGATGCCACCCACACGTCCTCGAATCACTGCCGTCCTCCATGCGAGTATGCGGGGACTCTGTCTGATTGGAGCACCTCCGAAAACGCGCCTGACTCGGGAGAAGAGCCGCTGAGTTCCTGTCACACGCAAACAGCACGCTGGCCCTGGCTGTTGGACGGAGGCGCCCACAGCGGAGAGATGGGCCCAGAGCACAGTGCAGCCAGTGCTGGGGTGCAGGGCCTGCCCTGGCACCGGGCAGAGGACTCCTCTCTGAGGGCCTGCGGTCTCCTGCAAGGGTGTCCGCGAGACTGCGTCCCTGCAGCACGCCCTCCGCAGAAGGCAGCACGCACTCTGCCCTGTCGCCCGCGACCACTGCGGAGAACTGAGGCTGCCAGGTGGAGGGGGCCTGGCTGCCCTGGAGCTGTCCCCCCTCCGCCCCTTCCTCTCCACTGCCCCACGCCGGCTGCTGTGCCCTGGCTGCACGTCTCCCTGCTTCACAGAGTGCGTGCAGCGCGCGTGCCCAGCTCCTTCCTCAGACTCATCTGTCAAGTGCCCACCGCACGGACGGCACCTGGAGCCCTGCTCATGCTGGTGGCATCGGGCCATCCAGCCTCTGCTACTGTAGACAGAGCTGCTGGGAACAGGCCAGGACCAGCCCTTGTGTGGTCGTGTCTCAAGTTCCCGAGCAAACTCCTGGTGTGGGATGGCTGGGTCCCAGCAGCTACTCTTTAACTCCAGAAGGAACTCGAAACAGCAGTCCCCGAGCCCAGCGCTGCACCTCGGCTTAACATGGAACACGCAGCTGCTCTGACATGTGGCTGTGCGTCAGTAAGACCTGACTCTGTATCTCCCTCACTGCTCAGGGTGTTGAACATCTTCCCAAGTGTTTATTGGTCATTCTGTCTCCTTTTCAAAAGCGCTCAAATCTTTCACCCAATATTTTCACTGGGCTGTTTCCTAAAAACAGGAACAAGCTGTCCTTGCCCCTGTCCAGCCCCGAACCTCCCGCAGCGCCTGGCTGCCCCTCTTGCAGAGGCAGGGCTCCGGCTCCCACGGGCACACGTCACTTTCCTGATCGCAGACCCTGCAGCCCTCGGCCCCAGCTCGCGGCCCCAGCTCGGCCCCTGCAGAGCTCACTGCTCACTGTCCCCGTCCCTTCCTCCCCCCGAGCACTCCTCACGCGTGCGTCTCCTGTCGGCTCCCGGAGAGGCCGCCTGCTCCGCCTCCAGCCCAGGCGAGGACGGGCCCAGCAGCGGCCCACGAAGCCTGCGAGAGACGAGGAACTCCGAGCCAACCCCGTGTTTCCCTGACGGAGACTCACCGCAGACACGCGAGGAACGTCGCCGTTCACTAGCTTCTAGACCACCACCCTCATTTTCCACATGAATGTGAGCAGGAAGTAGGTGCGCGCTTTGGCCCAGGAAGCATGCTGGTGCAACGCTGACCTGCCCCAGCAGTGCAGAGGTGCTGATAGCGTGAGGACGCCGGAACACGCCATGTCCAAGGTGAGCAAGAGACACTCATGGCCGAGGTGACGAAACCACCGTCTCAGAGGCTCGGCCAGCAGAACCTGGAACTGCTGGGCCTGGAAGGACCCGTCCCATCCGCCACTCTCCACTCCACAAGAAAGGGCTGCGAGCTCAGTACTTCACACCCGGCCCCTAAGCTGCAGCCCCAAAGTGCTGGAGCCCTGGTCTTCTGACCTTCGCCTCAACACCGCCCCACCCAAAGCCCACTTGTGCTACAGTCACATAGCATCGACCTCCACCTGCCCGTTAATTCACGCGTGTTATACATCGTGAGGCATATAACCTTTCACTTTTTCCCCCTTTATTGATTTTAGAGAGGGAGCGAGAGAGAGAAACATCGATGAAAGAGAACAGTGATGGACTGCCTCCTGCATGCCCCCCACTGGGGATCGGGCCCACAACCTGGGCATGTGCCCTGACCGGGAATCAAACCAGTGACCCCTGGGTGCAGGGTCGACGCTCGACCACTGAGCCACACTGGCCGGGCAAGGTATATAATCTTTCAAACACAGAACTCTGCCTCTCTGGCTCTTACAAAGCCACTCGAAGTCCCTGCAGAGACAGGAAGCCCTGGGAAGCAGAAGCAGGCACACACCTGGATCTGCTGGAACACCTGAGGCCAAGATCCTGCCCGCCACGGCGCCGGTGCCCGTCAACACTGCACCCTGGAAGTGTGCCTCCTGGCAGGTGCTGCTCTGACCCCTCGTCCAAGCAGGTGCTGCTCTGACCCCCTCGTCCTGGCAGGTGCTGCTCTGACCCCCTCGTCCTGGCAGGTGCTGCTCTGACCCCCTCGTCCTGGCAGGTGCTGCTCTGACCCCTCGTCCTGGCAGGTACTGCTGACCCCCTCGTCCTGGCAGGTGCTGCTCTGACCCCCTCGTCCTGGCAGGTGCTGCTCTGACCCCTTCGTCCTAGCAGCCAGGTGGGGCTCCCGGAGGAGCAAGTACACGCCGGGCCCAGGGCATCTGTGTCACACACGGCAAAGATGCTGAGGCCACTGAGGGTGGGTGTGAGGTGACACCGAGAACGGGCAGGAGCGTGTGGCTACGCAGAGCGTGCTCTTCTCAGGGAGAGTGCAGGGGGCAGCGTCCTGATGGCTGCGGGCCCCTCTCAAATGCTCAGACACAGAGGTGCTCTTGCCGTGTTCGTGGTGTCAGGGATTTTTCAAAAGAAAAAGTTGGGGGGGGGGGGATTACATTTTGATACATCATCTATTAAAATTACTTGCTAAATGATCATCTTTCAAAAACACGTTCGGTCTCTGCAGATGGCAACCCGAGGGTCACCACGGCCAGGCTTCGTGGCCAAGGGGAGGTGCTCCCTAGGGGTCAGAGGCGGGTGCACCTCACGGCACACAGACTGTCACTCTGTGGCACACCAGAAAGTATGCTTTTTGCTGGTCTGCCATAAACAGGTATGATTGATTCATTCACACTGCACGGCTGTGCTGGTTGTCAGTTTTTACTTGACCATTGAGGGGAAGAGGTCAGTGCCCTGGCTAAACAGTCAGGTACACACCCTCCGAAATCGCTGCTCTGGGGTGTGGTGTGTACACTGTTTTTCAAAGTAAAAGTTTTCCAAAAAACAAAGGGTCAGGAAGAAGCGGGAGCTCTGAGGTGTGTGACCTCTGGCTCCCTTGTCGTGGGGCCTCTACTTTCTAGACCAGCGAGACATCTTGGAAAGCAGATGACAAGGCCCAGTCCCGACAGCAGGCCCAGATAAACGGCGCTGCGCGCACTCCTTGAAAGCTGACTGAAGTTACGCCGGGCTCAGCATCACCAACACGCTGCTGCGCAGACACGAGCGATCACACAGCAGCGGGACGGCAACGCTCTCCGCTGAGGAACGAGGAACGGCTCATGTCGCCAGATGTGCAGCCCCATAGACTGAACCACAAAGGCACGGAGTGGCCTGCCCCAGGCCCCTGTGCGAGTCCCAGGGAGAGCCCAGCCAAAGGGCCACTCCAAGGCAGAGGCCCTGGGGGAGGACTGTGCTCCCAGCAGGACCATCCCCAGGAACCAGGCCTCTGCTTTATCCAGGGCCTACCTGAAGGAAGTATCACCTGGATGGTATTTACACCTCATGTTACTTTCTACAGGCCAGACTCACCAGGGGTAAAAATGATCACCCATAGAACACTCCACAGCATCTATAATGGACAACACCCCACCGTCTCAGAAGATGAAACCACATTTATGGCACCAACTACGCTGGGATTTACCTGCAGCAGAGGCTCATCAGCCTCTTTATCTGAAATAAGCATGTGAGTCTGCTGGGTCCATCCAACTGCTGGACAAACAGGGAGCTGTGCTTAATGAGGTTCTGATACATCCATATCTGAAACACAGAACACACAGGTTACCCCTCCATCCACACAGCTGGTGGCTCACCAGTCTGCAGCCAGATCTCTGTCGGAAGTGCCCTGGCGCCCGGTCCACTGCTCGGACATAGTGGGCAACAGATCCTCCAGCTCGGGTTTCACACAGCGGTGGTGGCCGCACATTCACTCCAGGATTAAGCTAAATTACTAAATGTATTATCAAAACAAAGTACACTTAAAATTCATGTAAATGTGAAACAGAAATAATTAATTTACAAAATGAGCAATCCATACTAGAATACCGGAGAAACACAATACTGATCACGGGCCACAAGGGCATGCTCCCCTGCCCCGCACCCCACATCTTCCCTGCTGGACACTCCATGCAGTGCTGGCAAAAAAGGCAGGCACAGGGCTCTTGACTAGAAGGACAAGTGCACAACACTGAAGTGAGGGCAGTGTTGCCTGACAGGGAGACAGAACGTGCTCAGTGTCTATGTACACAGAGTCATCGCCCCACAATGTTACCTGTCAGCTGTACCTTCGTGCAGTTGGGAAAAGGCCAGGTATGTGTCCAGGCCACCAGACTCCCCACTCCCCGGACAGGACCACCTCAGTGGGCTCGGTGAAGACCACACACCTCCGTCTGACCCGCGCTCAGGAGGCCTATTTGTGTGGACACAGCGCCACGAGCAGCTCTGAACCCTCACCGCCTGACGAGGAGGCACGTCTGTCTGCTCACCCACAGGACCGCTCAGCAGCAGCAAAACTCAAGCCATGACTGCGGCTTGTGTGCATGGGCTCTGTATACATGCACCCCGTGTGCACATGTGTTCTATGTGCATGCGCTCCATGTGCACGCGCCCTGTGTGCATGTGCTCCGTGTGCACGTGCTCCACGTGCGTGCGCTCTGTGTGCATTCGCTCTGTGTACATGCGCTCCGTGTACATGTGCTCCATCACCTTTCTTTGCTGTCTTTAAGGAGTTTCTCTGGCAGAAACACTTGTCTGACGTACAGTGTCATCACACAAGTGAAACCTACTGGAAAAGTGCTGGCATCACTGACAAGCATGTCCTCCATGGGCGAGATAGCTGCGGCCCACTCCAACAGCCACCTGCCTGCACTCGCCATTCCTTCCCGGGAGCCTGCAGCTGCCCGGCTCGCCCCTCCTAGGAGCCAGTGGGTACACACAGCGCCTCACTGCCCAACGTGCACGCACATGTAAACACGTACTAGTGAATCAACAAATAAAGACAGGACACACCACAACTAAATACTGTAAATGTCTGAAGGACAAATTCAGGACCTACAAGAATGAAGTTATAAATACACTCGTCAAGTGGTGGTGTTCTGAGCTGTCCAGGACACCAAGAGGAAGCCCACAGCAAGGTGACCCTTGCCTCGCGCGCTCTCTGGACTGGACGTGGATGGTGCATACAGCCATGACAAATGCACCAGTGCCCTCCAGAAAGTTGCAGTGTCGCTGCACTAACCATCAGACGTAGCCCTGTTACCGCCTCAATGTAGATGAGTCTGTTTTAAAGACTTCCGCCTCCCTCACCCCTCCTCAGGAAGTCGCCGGAGTGCACGCGCCAACTGAACAGGGAGTGAACCAGGACAGCAGGAGACAGGAGACAGGAAGGAGGGCCCGACACAGGCAAAGCAAGAGGCCTTCCCTGGAGAACGGGGCTGAGGAGCAACCTCCAACCTGTGCAGGAGGTCAGGGTGCGGGGGAACAGCTCCGGAAAACAGAGCCTGACCACCCGGCATCTCTAGTCCTGGGAACTGTCCTGAGAAGCATTTCACCGTGCTGGTGGAAGGAGAGCTTAACAAGAGATCCCAAGAAAACTAGGTAAGAGCAAGGCCATTATTGTTATTTTTTTTTATCCTCACCCGAGGACATTTTTCCATTTTTTGTTCAGATAGAGTGGGAGGGAGAGAGAGAGAGAGAGAGAGAGAGAGAAACATCGACGTGAAAGGGACACATCGAGTGGCTGCCACCCGCACGACCAACCAGGGCCGGGGACAAACTGCAACCGAGGTACGTGCCCTTAGCGGGAACCGAACCCGGGTCTCACTGGACCGCAGGCCGACGCTCTAACCGCTGAGCCAAACCAGCCAGGGCAGAGCAAGGCCATTATTAACTCCAGGATAATTTTTTAAAAACTGTACACTAACGAGATATAATCGCAGTACAGTGTTTTAGCAGAGGTCGCATGTAGAGTCGCTGAATAAACAAAGGGGAGAGGAGAGGGCAGGGCAGCCAGAGGCTCAGCTCTGCACAGAGCACCTCAGAAAAGCTGCTGGAAGTGGCATCGCGCTCAAGTGGAAACAAAGGGGAGAGGAGAGGGCAGGGCAGCCAGAGGCTCAGCTCTGCGCAGAGCACCTCAGAAAAGCTGCTGGAAGTGGCACCGCGCTCAAGTGGAAACCAGGGCCCTGAGGATGGGCGGTGAACGCCCTCCACTGCGACTGATGACCTGCGCATCCATCTTTGTTTGCAAACCGAATACTCAAGTTTGCTTTCATTACATTAACCAGGTTTGTTTTAATTATTCTCTTTATTGATTTTAGAGAGGAGAGAGGGAGAGAGAGCTGGAAACATCGATGAGCGAGAACATTGATGGGCCCCTCATTGGGGATCGGGCCCACAACCTGGGCATGTGCCCTGACCGGGAATAGAACTGGCGACCTCTTGGTTCAGGGTCAACGCTCAACCACTGAGCCACACCGGCCGGGCTGTATTAACCAGGTTTGATGGCATTTAATTCTGTTCAAGGTTTCAGACTCTGCACACGAGAATCTGCCTTATGCACATTCCCACCAGCTCTCCAGACATGGCTACGGGCGCAGGACTGCGCAGCCGCACCCTGGAGAACCCCGAGGGGAGAGCCGAGCGACCTTGTTTGCACCTGGAGACGGCAGGGGCAGTCCTCTAACAGCAGGGCGCTCTGGAGACGCCTGGCTGACAGCCCACACCCCGCCTGTCTGTGCTCATGGAGCTCTTTCCATCACAAGATCAGACGACAGGGAACTGGGGACGGACTGTTCCAGCAAGAAAGCAGACTACCTGCCGCAGCACTTTGCTGGTGCTGCTTCTGCTGAACGTCAGGAGCCTGGAAGGAGCCCGCACACGGGGTCCAGAGCGTGTGGGAGCCACAGGCACCGCCTCTCCAGACCAGCCCGTTGGGGCGGCTTCCCGCGGCCCAGCCTCTCTAACCCAGGCAGCAGTTCTGGGTGAGCCCAGTGACGGAGGGGCAGGCGGGCTCCTTGTCCCCTGCCCGGCTGTCCCTCTGTGCGTCTGGTCATTCCCACCATCAGCCCACACGGCTCCTCATCACGTAACACTGGAAGCCTACTCAACCTCGGTAGCCTGATTACATCTTGGATGTTTTAAGACAGAGACTCTATAATTTGGGGTTTATCCCGAAGTGTTTGCAGAGAATAGGCTTGGATATTTACAAGTCACGTCACAGTGATCACAGGCACAGGAGTGGAAGGTTCTGTGGGAAACCAGGTGCCCATGACTGCCGTGGGCACATGCCGTGGATGGCACAACACGTTACAATCGGCCTTGGTTTATGGCAGTTAATCAGTTCCAGACTCTACCACGATAAATGAATTTCCACAAAGTAGGATTCATTATTTATATACCATATTCTACTTTTTCTTTTCTTTTCTTTCTTTTTTATCTTCACCTGAGGACATTTTTTGCATTTATCTTCAGATAGAGCAGGAGAGAGAGAGAAATATCAATGTGAGAGAGACACATTGAGTGGCTGCCACCCACATGACCCCAACCGGGGCCGGGGACAAACTGCAACCGAGGTACATGCCCTTAGCAGGAACTGAACCCAGGTCTCTCTGGTCCACGGGCCAATGCTCTAACCACCGAGCCAAACCAGCCGGGGCTACTTTTTCTTATATTTAAGTTTTCCACAATAATACAATGAACACAGCTAATGAAAATTTAAATCGATCTTTAAGAGGTAAAACACATTACTATAAAGATAACCTATTCCAGCTGGCTGAGGACAAGGTCACGAAGCTGAGATGCCGGAGGGGTTATCCGACCACGTTTTAAAAAGCTGGGGACCACGTGAGCACAGATAAGTGACAGTACGGTCAACACTCACCAAACGTCTTGAGTCTTCATTCTGTTTGTAAAAGAACAGAAGCTGCCTCACTAAGAGGGTGAGGTTGGGGCCACTAGCCAAGGAAAAGGTGCCCCCAGACTGGGACAAGTTCGCACAGCGATCAAACGCAGCTCTTTGGATGGAATACTGAAAACAAAACAGCACACAGGTCAGCACACAGGCATGACTGCCAGGGTCTAAGGCACACAGTGCGTTCACAGGCTGGGGACACAGCCACACCGCAGCTGGCGGGCAGCTGTCAGCAGCAGGCTGCCAAGCCCAAGCCCCTGGGACGCAACGCGGTGCTTCCGTGCCCACTAACTTTCCCACCACTTCCTTCTTTAGGTCTTCACCTGTGGTTTGGCCTGTTTGTATTTTAGTATTAAAACAAAACACAACAAAAACCTCACTTACCTACAGATCTTTATGTAAATCTAAACTAATAAAATTAGCTATTGGGGGAAATACTATTATTAACATGAACTTTCATTACACAGGTATACAAAAATGGATTTCATGTCTAAGAATCCCGGGTCATTATTTAAAATAAGCTTTCACTTGCCTTTCTGACTCTTTCTCAGTTTATAAACAGACTTACTTGCTGTTTTCTGTCTCGATAGCCTCGAATAAATGACTGAATAATTACTGCATTTTTCAGTCTCCGCCTTTCTTCCTGAATAAAAGAGGGAGGGAGGAAACAACCAGTCAGACTCCACGAAAATGACATTTAATCACTAATGTCTTAGAAAGAATCACAGCAATATAATTCACACACCACAGAACTCACTCTTTCAAGTGTACCATGGCCAATTGTTAATATATTCATCAAACTTGTGCAACCATCGCCACTCTCGAATTTTATTATTTTTATTTTTTATTTTTTTTGTCCTCACCCAAGGACATTTTTCCATTTTTTGTTCAGACAGAGTGGGAGGGGGGGAGAGAGAGAGAAACATCGATGTGAAAGGGACACATCGAGTGGCTGCCACCCACACGACCCAACCGAGGCCAGGGACAAACTGCAACCGAGGTACATGCCCTTAGCGGGAACCGAACCCGGGTCTCTCTAGACCGCAGGCTGACACTCTAACCGCTGAGCCAAACCGGCTAGGGCCACTCTCGAATTTTAGAACACTTCGTCACGAACTCCCCCAAACCTGCACACCCATCAGCAGTCACCCTCCCTGCCTACGCCCGTGCCTGCCGACCACCTGAACCCATCTGTAGGAAACTGCCTATCTGGCCACTTCATGTAACAGATCCAGAGTATGTGGCTTCTTGTGTCAGGCTTTTTTCACTTGGCATGACATTTTTTATTTTTTAAATCCTCACCCGAGGACATTTTTCTATTTATCTTCAGAGTGGGAAGGAGGGAGAGAGAAACATCGAGGTGAGAGAGACACATCAATTGGTTGCCTCCCGCACAAACCTGACCAGGGCTGGGGACGAACCTCAACCGAGGTACGTGCACTTGACTGGAATCAAACCTGGGACACATTGGTCTGTAGGCCAACGCTCTACTGCTGAGCCAAACCGGCCAGGCTCGGCACACCGTCTTCCAGACTCACCACGGTGTCCCACTGGGCGCTTAGCCCTTCTCATGGCTGGCCTCTCCACCCATGGCGCCTCACACTGTGCCTGCCCGCTTCTCGGCTGAGGGCACCGCGCTGCCCACACTCATGAACCAGTTTTCACGTCTCGTGTGTGAACACAGAAGTGAAATGAACACGTGAGGAACTGCCAGACTATGCTCCAAAACGGCCCCACTATTTTATAGTCCCAGCAGCACAGGAAGACTGTTCTTTACATTTTTCATTTTGAGTATTACAAGAATGCAGACAACACAAACATCTATTTTAAAGGTCATACACTGCCCGGCCAGCGTGGCTCAGTGGCTGAGTGCGGACCCATGCCCCAAGAGCTCGCCAGTTCGATTCCCAGTCAGGGCACGTGCCCAGGTTGTGGGCCCGATCCCCAGTGGGGGGCATGCAGGAGGCAGCCAATCGATGTTCTCTTTCATCAATGTTTCCATCTCTCTCTCCCTCTCCCTTCTCTCTCTAAAATCAATAAAAAATAAAAATAAACAATAAAACAAAGGTCACACCCTTGCTTCAAAGCAGAGAACTCCAATTTCCACTGACTTGAGACTGACCTGGCAAAACCGTCTCCTCCACCATCACTGACACAAGGCGGCGCCACGTCTGAGAGCAGCCGTGTGCAGCCCTGAGAAACCCTTCCCGTCCACCTGCACAGTGACCCTCCGGCTGAGGATCAGGCGTTCTAAAGATGCAGAAACTAAGATTTCCATAAAGATGAAATAATGCCAAAAAGTGGCCAGAGCCAGAATTCAGACGAGGAGTGACAGGACAGCCTGCACTCCGTCCCCCCGCGGTGCTGCTTCACGCCTTCCCCAGACGCCGCCTAACCTGCAGGCTGCCCCTTGTACACCTGCTCTGCACGGTGTCAAGTAAACGCCTTACTGTAAAGCCAACAACCCAGAAGTGTCTCTACAGCTCAATGCATACACACAAATATACATGTATTCCACCACACTGAACACACACGTATCTATGTACAAAACAGTAAAACCCAGACTTAAATGATATGGGAAAATCTTATCTATAAACTATTACAAAACTGGTTTTACCTCTCTCTTTCTTCTTTCTTCCTGAGTACGGTGTAAAAGAGAAGCCTTTTCTTCCTAAACACAAAGAGACACAAAAATTAATGAATGTTTTGACCCAAAAAGGATTCTAAAGATCATCCAATCAGACTACCTGACTCAGTGAGAAATCTGAGGCACAAGAGGTTACATGGTTTTCGGAGGTCATAGAACTAATTAAAGTCACGACTTCAAGCAGTTTCCTAAGAATAAAACCGATGTCTTTACGCGCAGAGTGAGTTCCGGGGAAAGGAGACGGGAACGAGACGGTGCCTGTGCCAAGCTGCTGGCGACAGCCCTGGTTTCGCCGAGCGCAGCGCCAGGGGAGCGTTGCCAATGGGGGGCTTTCTATGTTATTTCTAACAGCTGCACAGGATCCACAACTATCTCAATAAAAATTTCAATGAAAAAGCAATTTATTTAATGTTATCAAACTTAAAATAATAAAAATAAATTCCCCCCCCTCATAAATAACACTAAATTTTGAACAAAGTTACTTGGTACGTAGTAGAAACTAAATAATAAATTTAGTTTTATTTTATTTTAGTTTATAAAAATAGCCTTCCCTCCCCAGAACTACTCCAGAATACAGAGTATGAACATTTTATTCTTATAAATTTAATCCAAAATAAAATCAAAGGTCCAAGCCATCACAGATGAATCATTACAAAAATTAATATACTTAAACTTAACAAAAACATACACCCCTACGCATAACCAATGGACATGGACAACAAAGCCGGGGACAGGGTGGGGGGATGGGGAGGAGGGTGTCAATGGCGTAAAAAAGGAGAAACATCTGTAACAAAAATAAAATAAAAATAAAACAAAAAATAATAAAAATTAAAAAAAATACACCCCTTAAGAAGACTGTTGGGAAGTTAATTACCAACTTGAAATCATACATGACTATGTGAGCACACACAGTGTGGAGAAGAGAAGCTTCTCACTCACTGACAAAATTTAAAGCCAAAGAAATAAATCCTCCAGATATTTACCATTGTAGAAAAGTTCATTTCTTGAATTTCAGATAAAAGTCTTCATCTACCACATACATGTCCAAAGTCAGGAAATATTTTGTTTTAAACTTTAACAAAAAGGAGGAGGAGAATGGAAAATCTAAAGTAAAATATAATTATGCTGTTCAGAGCTATGGAAAACGTGCACATAAAAATTGTCATATTTCTGCCCTGGCCGGTTTGGCTCAGCGGTTGGAGCGTCGGCCTGCGGTACAGAGACCCGGGTTCGGTTCCCGCTAAGGGCACACACCTCGGTTGCAGTTTGTCCCCGGCCCTGGTTGGTCGTGCAGGTGGCAGCCACTCGATGTGTCCCTTTCACATCGATGTTTCTCTCCCCCCCCCCCCCACTCTATCTGAACAAAAAAATGGAAAAATGTCCTCGGGTGAGGATAAAAAAAAAAAAAATGTCACATTCCTGGTCTTTATCTTTGATGAATAGACTGACTGGCATGTTTATATCAATAACTTATTTTCCTTCTATCTCCATTTATCCAGATTTGATATATTTCCATCATTTGGTTATAACTGAGGATCTCAGATTTTCTAAAATAGTTCATACTGTCATAACTACAAAAACACACTTAATGTCTGAAATTAAATGGACCAACACCCGCTGGATGCACTTCATACTCAGATGCTCAGTCGTCGTTGCTCTGACAGGCTCCGGGCCCCACCCGCGTCTCACTGCTGTGCCCTGGGTCCCTGTCCTCGCTCCATGATCATTCACACAGCGAGTGAACGAACACTTCCCTTAAGTAAAACAAGGCAATCTAATAGAAGGAGTAGCCATAACAGGTGCAGTGTTTTAAAAATCAAAATAGGTGCTAAGTATCTAAAAGCTTAATTGGACTCTAACTGAATACGAGCATTCCTCAGGCATTTGAGCGTGAAGCCCAGTGGCCTGTGCAAGCCCAGAGCCAGCTGCAGCGGGGACCACACGGAGAGCGCCCCAAGCTCGGCAGTGGCAGGACTACTACAAGGACTGCTCTGGGAGGACCACCTACCTGAATGGCCTGGGGAGGGAGGGGGAGCAAATGAAGGGGACCCTCGGGCATGGAGACCTCCCCGCTCCTCCACCAACACCCCTGCCTCACAGATGTCCCTTTGCCACCCCCACAAGGTCTACCAACCCTATACCACTGGTACCACAATTTAGTTAATACTATTCTTTAAACTGACTTGAGAAACTTTTATTTTGAATTTTAGACAAAGGAAAGTTGCAGGATGATCCCATGAGTCCCCTCACCGCGCCCTTCACCCACCCCACCCCTCACTGGAGTAAAGGCAGCAAGAACAGGAGACTGCACTGTGCAGTGACGACGACGCTGCAGTTTGTCAGAAATTCCCGTCTCCCGCTGTGACTTTCACCTGTTCTAGGATCACAGCCAGAATCCTCACTGGACTTAATTACTACTTCTTAATTCACACCAATCCATAACAGTTCCTTCATCTTT